TTGGTGTTGATGATTGCGTGGCATTTGGGCATTGTGGTTGTTTGCTGCGCGGCGGTGGGGTGCTGGATGGGGGAGGCCACTGGTCTATGTTGTGTCTGCGCCGCGGTCGGTCCGGGCGCTGCTCTTCCTCTTTTGCGTTCCGTCGGCATTACGTTGTCAACTGGCATTTGGGTCGGAGTCTTCTGCGTTTGCATCGCGGTGCATCTGGGAGTCTTTGTTTTTTTTTGATTTGATTTATTCTTTTTCTTTCTTCCACCCCTATTGGCTACTGGGGTTCTTGCCTGCCTGTTACAGTCGTGGCGTCCCACTCTCTCTAACAACTACATTCTTTAACAGGCTTATGCGCACACACATGTACATACACACACATACAGACACATTCACCCACACAGACACAAACAAACTTAGGTTGTCCCTGGTAGAATTATTCCTGATGCCTTTCTTTCAGTTACTTATTTAAATTAATTATTATTCCAGCTCTCGTGGCTGTGTTGTGTTGCTTATTTAGTGTGTGTGACTGTTTCTTGTTTTCATTGTTCTCTTAGTTGTCTTAATATGTCATTAATATGTCAGCTGTTTATTGCTGCTGTTCGGCTGGTTTTCTTTTACTATTATTATTATTTTTATTGTTTTTTTTGTTTGTGTTTGTTTGTTGTTGTTTTTCTCCTCCCCAAGCCCCCCTCTCTGTTCTCTTGCAGGTTTCGTTGCTTTCTGCAATTGGTGTTTCCCACAGCTTTTCCCTGTTGTCCCCACCCTCCATCCCCCTTTCCCCCTTCTCTTGCAGGTGTTGTCCTTTCTCTGTGCTGTCTGTTTGTGCCCCCCATCCCCGTGTCTGCCCCCCTGTCCGGCCCGGTGACAAATCAATACATAATTAAATAAATAATAAAACAGACAAAGGAGTATTTTAATACTCTCTTGTTAAAGTAAAATCTGTCTGGCATAATATGGTATCCAGGTCATTATACTCTATACCAGGCTGCTGGGCAGGACAGGTTTAACAGCAGACGGGGGTGATGAGTGAGGCTGACTGTGTACGTCATGTGTAGACACATTTGTTGGTCTTCCAGAAAAGGGCGTTTGAATGCATGTGAGTAAAAGTACATGCCTAAACACACATACCTGTGAACGCATAGAGATGCAACACTCTTTCTTTTTTCTCATCTCTGTTTATCTCAGTAAGTTAGAATTAGATATATACTGCAACATAGAAGAAACACATGGACGCTGTTCATAGATTCATGTCTGTAATCTGTGTGTTATGTAACGTCTGTGTTTCGGTGTGTGCTGTTGTCATGGCCCAGATACTCATGGATCCCAAAATAGAATACTGTGGTTCCTTGAGGTCAAGTCCCTTTAGCAACATTAGCAGAAGTTCCATTAGGTGTAAGCAGGACATTCACTCATGGTGTTTGCTATTGAGTGAGCTGCATCACACTTGATGAAGAACCGAGTGAGTTTGTCCTGAAGCCTTTGGTCTGCAAAGGAAGAAGTTCGTTATGTTTGCTAGCAGCCCTGAAGGTGATGAGGGATTTAACCACCAGTTCATTGATGCTTTGTATTTTTACTCAGCATTCAATCCACCACACTACTGGGCTCTTGTAGTGGGGGGAGGAAGTGCAGTCACAGGTCCAGTGCTGTGCTTGACACAAGGAATCATATTTCACTAGGACATCTGAAAGATGGCGTGGTTTGGGGCTATATGCCAGTTCATGCACATCCATCTTCTGGATGACAGTTTGACTTGTTAGACGAGGCTGGGATGAATTATTGTGTGAAGAAGTCTTTATGCTCTTCTTAGAATCCATATGTAGTCTTCCTCTGTATGCCTTGTTCACTCATCTCCAGCTTCCAGTGACATGAAAGCTCTAACCTAAAAAACAAGAATTAGATGTAAGGTAATGCCGGCTTCTTATATTTAAAGAGAATATATAAAAAATAAAATTGTGGTTGGGACCAAAAATAAAAAATTATAATAGAAAATTGATTAAACAAGGCAATAAGTGATATCACAATCAGGCTATGACATCAGCATAAAATGCTTACATCATTTACAACTAAATTCTTCCAGCAGTTAGCTACCACGTTTGTAGTGTTGAAGTTAGCCTCAGTGTAGTCTGTTTTTAGCTATATTTTCTCCAGTTTTCTCCGTTTTTCATATATTTTCATATTCATATTCTATGGTTTTTCACAGTTTTCATCCTCCATAGCAGCACAGCGCTTCTCTGTCTCTCCACCTTTTTATATACAGTCTATGCTCTCCACACACAACAGCAGCAGGAAAAACTTGTGCTAGCTCCCAGAGACATGGGAGCAGGTGGGTGGGCCTACCTGCTGTCAGTTGATTGGCCAAACTAACCTGTCTGTATATTTTGCCCTGGTAACTGAATTTTAACCCTTTAAAACCCTTAGATAAGCTCTCAAGTTACATTTCAAGGATAGAATCACTCTCATACTGATTTTTATAGGGTTTTCCTATTTTTAAACCTAGATCACTTCATCTGTGTTACATGTAGGTCCTCTGTGTCTGTGGAAAGTTCAGTGAGGGTAGCCATTTCTGTGTAAACCACAGGAGAATAGTCCCAAAGTAGTCTATGTATATATATATATCTTTTGTTTGAATCAGTTGAATGTCCTTGTATGTTTGTCTCGCTCCCTACTGCTGGAAACAGGGCTCCACTATGTTCTATCTCCCCTCCCAGTTCTCGCGACTCACATGCCTGTTCATTTTAAAACAACAAAAGGGGAACGTTTGACCAACCAGTGGTGTAACTACATCACTCAGTCGGGGAGAGACTTAACTTCATCGGCGCAGTCCAGCCAAACAAAAACACCACAAGCAAGTGGGCAAGTGTTCTGCAGTGAAGTAAATGAAAGACCTCATGCTGTCTATAACCACTGTCTCACACAGTGAGATCTAATCAAATGATTTGTCTTAAAACATGAATCAGTGGTGCAAAGACTGACAGTAAATTTGCTGTAGTACCCAGCAGCCAATAACACCACTCCTGCATAATTACCTGTTGAAATCTAATTAAACTGAAACTGAAAAAAACTCACACACACATACCAGTAGGTCAAAAGCCATAATTTGAAACCCAATAAGGAAGGCTACATTAATTCTTCTCTGCGTTACCATCTCTGCTATTTTTTGCTCTTGATCAGGGAATCTAATGTGATATTACTTCCGTCCCAGGGCTGGGATTATTATTATTAGTAGTATTATAGTATTACTAGATTATAATTCCAGGCCTGGCTGCATTGTCTGCTTTGGATTCTTAGGTAGCCTTTTTTATTGCCACTGTTTGTCCACCATATACCCATGCTGCAGCCGTGACAAGGACAATTGTAGCATGAACACTTTGGATTTCAATGCTCCATATTTGTATAGCACCTTTCTAGTCTTTTTGACACTACATCCACACAGATTCATTCACTGAGCGCTCAAACAGAAACTAACATTCACACGCATTCATACACTGGCGGAAAAATAGAGAAGATATGGGTTTTTTGGGATCACTTTAGTTCTTTGCTGAAGTTTTCAGATTTTTATAATTGGCCATCCAGCTCAAATTCACCAAGACAGTTTTTTTTACTTCTTCATAACTGTTATTATGTGTTCAAAGATTCTAAATTTGAGCTGAATTCCCCTGAATGACTTGTGTTTGGACTACCAGAGAAAACATGCACCTTTTTCATAGTCTTCTTCATTCAACCATAGCTAATGTTGGTCATTGTATACTCAGTTGCCTTAACTTGAAAGCAGCTTTGTGTGTGATTTCCTTGAAAAATGAAAATAGATGCATGTTTTTTGCATGAATCTTTGTGTTTCATTATCATTGTTTTTCTTCACTTTAAGTGTCAAACCAAATACACTAAATAAATTGAGTGTAGCGCAGCCTGGAGGTTTGGCCTAAAACCTCAACACATTCAATAATGAGATGGTACTGTTGGTGAAAAGCATTTAATGATCAGAGCTGTGCTAGTTTTCCATAGTACTGATTAGGTGAACTAGGAAATGTGCCGTGCTAGTTAATAATGACAGAGCAAACTGACTTTACTCATCTTAGTTGAAACATTGTGATTTATTATTTGTGGTTTCTTTTAATATTTTGCTTAATTACTGTCCACAATATCATCTTGAAATATAACTTGTGTTCTAACTGTAGTTAAAGATTTAATATCAGTAAATGTCAGGTTGGAGCTGAGGAAGAATACAGCTGCCTCTTTTAGCGCACTTGCATCATCACTCCGGAATGACAAGAATCTGAGCTGCTTCTTATTCAGCTGAAAGCTCAAAGAGAAAGAGCTGGAGCATGAAGACGTTAGTGTCCTTTGTCTTTGATCTGACCTCCAACCATCCATCTTCTCTCCACCCCTTTCTTCCCTCCTCTCACATTGCATATGACTTGGCTTTGCTGATGTCAGTGCTCTCTCACTTTTGTGGACAGAGGAAATGGTTTTCTAGTGGCGTTGCACAAAGGTCTCGTCCCACTGAGCCCAACCTCTTGCACATCTGCCAACTAACTTAATGGGAGGTATGCTTGAAATGTGGTGTCACGACATTTGGAGTGACTTCATTGTGTGGCGTAGCTTTATACACTTTGTCCACAGCCATCCATTACTAGATATTTATAATTCGGAGGCGCTGCCTAGTCTAACCACAGCCTCTTTCATGGTGTCAGAAAACGTATTTAGTTTACCCTTCTGTTCTTCCTGCCCACTGATTAAAGGATAGAAAGTATGAACAGTGTGACACTTTTATTTATTTATTTTTGTTTTGATTTCCTATGACTTTGGAAATTCTAAACACCCTTTGACAGTAACACAGCTTTACTGGAATATTTGATGTGCACAAGCATAACAGTATTTGAGATAGGGGAGAACACTTACTGCTCACTTCATCGCCCACACCGAATCAATAGGGTCCCTCTTCAGTTTGTGTTTTGGTAGTACAGTATCTTTTTAATAATAGTAACAACATGTTGCCTTTTGTGTTGCAGTGTGGTGTTCAGAAAGCATTACTGCCTTGTATGGAGAGACAATTGTTATACAATGTAACAATGGAGCTCCGGCACCAGAGGATCTGATGTTCATCAAGTGGAAATACGTAAGTAGATACCACAGACTGTATAAAACACGGTCGTAGTCTCTGTTACGCCATCCATATGTTTCTCAAGAAGGATGGTGAAGCTCAGTGTGTGAGGCTGTGGCCGTCACCGTCTTGGCAGTGGCTAACTCTGGCTAAGCCAAAAGTAGGCAAAGAGGTGGAGCTAGCAGACAGCTAGCCGCTAGTCACCTGTGACAGCACCCACCTGTCACTCAAAGTGGCCATTCCCTTTTAATCCAATCCATTTTATGTATACAGCACATTTAAAAAAAACAAAGGTTTACAAAGTGCTGGACAAGAAATAAAACATAAAAACACATAAAACAACATAAGACCACACAGTTCTCATGCTGGGTTAAAATCCAGGGAATACGAGTTTTAAGACGGGATTTAAAAGCTTCGAGGGTCGGGGCCAATTTGACCTGTGGAGGTGGCTCATTCCACAGTTTAGGGGCTGCTGCTGAAAAAGCTTTTCGGAGCGACCAGCGGAAGTTGATAACTTTAACCATAAAATTCACGGGTGAGTTACAAATTCAACCCGCTACAGTTGTCATAAAGGGGGAAATAAGATACAGAGACCAAAGCCGTTTTTTGTACCAGGCTGTAAACATGTTTATTTCTGCAGTAGAGATGGGCATTTTAACATACATGCCATGGGTATTATTCACTTTTGGAGCCAGCCTCAAGTTGCCATTTTGTGACTCTCAATAAATGCAAACTTTCCCAAGACATTCAATGAGATAAAAGAAAAGAAATAAAGGAGGACGACATTAACTGATTGGGCTATCTTTGTATGTGAGTATTTGACAACACATTGTCACATCAGTTTTTACAGATTTGATGAAATGAGCTTATGGGTATTTTTTGATAGCATGAGAAGTACTGAAATACAGACAAACATTAGCACCCAATGGGATAGGAAGAGCTAAATGTACACCTGTGTCATTTCATAGATTTAGTCAGAATAATTGAAATATATGAAAAAGTATATCAGAAAAGCTAAGTAAATATGTTCATGAATGAATTAAAGAGTAAATCAGAAAATACGCAAGGGGATATCATAAATGAAAAATAGCATAAAAACACATCTGTCACAGGCAGAGTCATCAATTGTCACATATATCAAATATGCACAACTGTATAACACATCAGCAACCTGGACTACAACATGCTTTTCATAAACTCAGTTCGTTTGAATTCAGAGGACATTCAAGTACTATCTGTTTTTGTGCAAAAATGTAGAAACGAAATGCAAAATCTGCAGTCGAGTGAAAGAGCAACAGTGTGTCTCTGAGTCTTCATTTGGCTTTAGCATCATCTTAATTTAATGTCGTGTTCCCGTATACCGTATAATAATATGGTGTTTCACTTTATTCTGTGATCAGTAGGCTTTAGCTTCTGTCTTTATTTTTTTTCAGTTTGACTGCCTGAATACAACCTTCAAATGCAAAACTGTCTGCTTCTTTCTAAGAATGCTTTTTCCAAAAATTAGTCAATATTTCTCCAGAGATTGCAGTTATAGACAGTGGCAGTGCCGTGCTAAAAGTCCGACTGGTCCAACAGTTTGTCGGACTTAGCGACAGTAACTAAGGAGGGCGTGGCTTAGCAAAGGGTCAGTTAGAATCTAATTTGTAATTTAATGCCATATTTGTTTAATGCCATGTTTAATACTGTGCCCTAGATTGTTACATTATGTATGTCTCTTTTTAAATCAATTGTGAATGAGGAAGAGTGATGTACAGATTTACTAAAACACCAAACCATTCTGTTGTCTCCTTATCTTTCTTATATTGTCACATTTCAGGAAAAAGAAGATGGCACTCCTGGCGATCTGTTGTTGAAACAAGCCCACAGCAGCCAGGCCACAGTTCAGGCCACAGACAGCTATGCCCAGCGGGTCAACATCGATGATAAGTTCAGCCTACACATCACTCAGGCCTCACTCAAAGACGAAAAGACCTTCACCTGCATGGTTGTGTCAGAATCCAACCTCAGGGAGTTCCCCGTCTCGGTCACTGTTCATAGTAAGCTCAGTATTCACACTACAACAGTGTTTGTCCTTACAACCTCTTATTGAATGAATTTGAAATATTTGTTTTGGTGGAATAATCATCTTTCATGCTAAGCACTTGTTGCTGTGGTTTTCTGCGCAATCAACATTGATATATGTCATTGCACTTAGTCACAGAACGTAACAAGATTTTAAAAGGGAAACTCTTGTTATTGTATCCTAAAGTGTTTTTATCTTAAAACAGACAAAAGTACCTGTCAACATGCATCTTGTTACATAAATGTTCTGACATGTTGGTCCCATCTCTTTCACTTAATGTTTGAGGATCATTAGTGACTTTTTACAAAAAAGTAACAATAGCAGTCTGATAAGGTTGTAACAGTTTTCCAAGATGGACTCGATAGCTTGATCATCTGCGGCAGGTCTCTTTCCTAATTTAGGCCTGTTGTAACTGCTTTCATGGGCAGTAATAATAAAATAACAGTTTGCTCCTTGCTGCGGATCAGAGGTTTCCCTTTTAAACAATCTGGGACGCTTTTAAGCAGATCAAAGTGGAAAGAATGGCTCATTTTCACTCTTTGCTGCTGCTCTCGCTGCATTAGACTTTCCATGTATGCACATAGAATGGCGGCTTGGGGCTTTTCACGTAGGCAAGTGAAATCTCAGAGGTCCTAGAACAGAGCCATACCGCCAAACATAACTAATGCAGATCAATAAAGGTTTCTTTAACTAAGGCCCTGACTGAAGAACAATAAGTGCATGCTCTCTAGAAAAGCAAAGCAAGTTTAATTGAATAGCACATTTCAACAATTTAAAGTGCTTTACATATAAGCAACATAGCGCTATATATAAGACATTTCAATACAATTGAAAAGAGTTAACAAGGTAAAACAAGATGATAAAAGTGTGTGCAGTGTAAAATATTAATCAAACCCCATATTTGATTTAATAAAAGGCAGCAGCAGAAAGAAAAGTATTCAGCATTGATGTAAAAGAACAGAGTTTCAGCAGACCTGCAGGATTCTGGGAGTTTGTTCCAGATATATGGAGCATAAACTGAACGCTGCTTCTCCGTGTTTAGTTTTGACTGTGGGGATGTAAAGCAGACCTGTCCCATACCACCTGAGAGGTCTAGATGGTTCTTGATGTAGCAGAAGATCACATTTACATTTATTCATTTAGCTGACGTGTCAGAGGTCGCATGCCTCTGGAGCTACAAGGGGTTAAATGTCAGGGACACAGTGTGGGATTGAACCTGGGTCTCTCATTTTGGTAACTTTGTGTGTCTGTGTAATAAACCATGTCAAAATAAGTATTAGTAACATTCAGTGATGTTGTTTCAACTGTGTGTCCCCAGTTTGCAACATGCAGTCACATAGTGTGCAGCTCAGTACGCTGCATGTCCTTCAAGCAGGACTTCTTGTGTTGTCTTTTCTCTAGGGCTAAACTGTGGTCACTGGGCACTATAGCATTAAGGAGGTGGTATTATGCTTTTTAGCTTTTCCCCTCTCCTTTATTGAGTTATATTCATTTTTTGTGCATGTAACAGGTTTGCAAAGTGAAAATGCTCAAAGTCCAGCCCAAAGGGAGTTCCCATCTCCCACAGAAAACTCTGATCTGAACTGCTTAAAAACAGCTCGTTTGTAGTCCAGCCCTTCACTTCCTTTACTTGTGACGTCACAATGAAAATACATGTCATAATGCTCGCTGAGCGGCTACTCCAACACGCCCTCAAAAACACTGGTGGAAAAACACTGAGCTGCAGCACACACCTCTCCCTTCCAAACACTAGCTACCCTCCAGGCAGTCAATGGACACAAAGTTGTTACTGTGATGTAGAGACAGAGCTCAGTTAAAACTTTATGGATGAAAAATACTTTTGTTACAGAATAATAACTCACCACTCTGAAACTATTGCTCCAGTCCATGTTACCAAGCTGAATCAAACCTGTTTACCAGCTACTCGCTGACCCGTTTTTGTAAAAACTTCAACCAACCTCTGGTGCTAAGAATGCAAGTGCAGCCTTAATTTTATTTGTCCTTCCTATTTGAAACAGATTTAGTTCCATGTAGAGCTCCATATCCTCTCAGACATATGCAACATCACTTTTTATTTGTCCCCACATTATTCAAAGAATTGGAATGCAGGTAATTCCAGTCCATCTGAATATGCTTCCTCTTTTTCTGAGATCTATTACCTCTTTATTTTCACCTCACCTTGCTTTTAATGTGTGTGTACTTAAAAAGACAAATTATATCAAGTTTTTTCTTGCACAACAACTGGGGAGTGTGGTTTGTGGGTGGGAGAGGGTGAGTTGGCTGTCTGTGTCTGTGTATTTATAATGTTCAGTATGTTTGTCAGGTTAAGCTGTATTTGATTATATGTTTGATTTTGTGTTTGTCTATAGGGCCCCCTTGGAAATGAGATGCTACATCTCAAGGGGCTACACTTTCAAGAAATTCAAAATCGAATCTAATACACTTCAATTACACAACACTGCATAAATGTGAACTGAATTCTATCAGATGAATGGATAGATTACAGCAGCAGAAGGTTAAACATAAAGAGAAACTCACATCTTGCTTGACCTGATTCAGATCACTGTAATAAATATATCACTTATTTTTCATCTCCTTTGCTCAAACAAAATGAAATAAGTTTAAGAATCTGAACTGCTCCAAATGTGCCAATTTTATGTTGTTAAGGAGATTGTTCTGGTGTTGATTTATCCCCAAAAGTGGTAAAACCAAAATGTGCACATATTTAGTCCTCTTCAAATAAAGCCATGCAGACTGATTGTTTAATATTGTCATGTTACAAGCTGTTTTGGTGTAATTTACACATGCTGTGTTTACTGATGTAGACAGAAAATCTTTAGTACTGACTAATTAACCAAAAACAGTTACATTTGTCAAGCTTATGCAAAGATACATGGGTGACGCGTTACGGATTCCAAAACCTGATTCTCTCCTTTTGTGTTTGCAGAGAAACCATCATCAGTTCAGGTTATGGAGAAGTCTAAAGCACTGCAGAAGGACAAACCTGTAATGGTAAGAAATACTATGACCTTTACATTTTTGAACCTGCCGCTTCACACCACATGAATTCTGCACATGTAATGTATGTGTGGGCTGAAGTAATGTAGTGTTATGTACTAATTGCTCTTTGTCTATTTGATTGAGCTTGAGAATTTCATAAACTCATCATAAATTACTTTTGTTGGTACGTGGTGCACATGTTATATTGAAATATTGTCACTGTGGTCCCTGCCTGGGTCATGCAGGAAGCTGACATGTTGACTCATTTACACAGTCCAAGCAGCCTGAGGTTTCTGAGGAAGTCTAGAATGTGCACTTCTGTATTTTTGTTGCTTTTCCATGACTTTATTGGTGATTATTTTTACATTTATTAAGCATGCCAATTGATTTATTGATTTATGCCTTGTTCCCAGATAGATACTGGTTTTCATTTCTTCCAGCATGGTACAGCATAATCAACATGATGTTTAAGCTCTATTAAAAGAAGAAGCACATTGTAGTGAACCATTAGTCACCTTTCTATTTTGGTCAGAATTCTGTTGCTGTCACATGATGCTGGTGCATTCAAAGACACTCTGACATTTGAGATTTGATAGATACTAAACTGCTTTTTTCCTATTAGAAACAACCAAATTCACACTGTGGTGTTTGCAGATGTTTGTCTCCTGCAGTAGGTTTGTGGACATCATGGCTAACATTAATGCAAAGGTTTTCAGTTTCAAGTGGATGACTGTCTGTTATTGCACATTGGAGCATTTGTTTTGAAAATGGTCTCTGTTCACAACATTGGAATAACTTTGTAATGGTTGAGAGTTGTTCACTATGATAGATATGTTTCCACATTCACACACCTAACGTAGCCTCTGCTGCAAACACATCAGCGTGCCCCCCTCTTTCTGTCTCACTTTCCCTGTATATGTCTGCTCCATTTACTTTCTCCATCAGTAGGCTACGTTATAAAATGTCACCGAAGAACCACAACTCATCGTCAGGATATTCCCACCCGCGATACCATTCACAGCAGCAGTCAGTTAACTCTAAAAGTCCCTTAATCAATAATGAAACTATCCATTAGTTATGGCCCTATTTTACTGAGAGGAATCTGAATTAATCGGATATTGAAATATCCGATTAATTCATGGCCTTTCTGAAATGATAGGCTAAGTGAAACACTGCTGAGTTTTTGATCATAACAAGGTCAAGGACATCAGTCAACAGTCAGGCTGTACTTCATAGTGATTGGGCCAAGCTAACTGACCAGAAGTGTCAGAACTAAGATCAAGGTTTTCTTTTTCCATTGACTGTGATGGTAGATGATGTATTAGTTAGGGTTGTAATCCGGTTGATCAGAAACAGATACACACTGTACTTGGATAGGAGCCTGTGCTTTGAGGTGAAAGGCACCATACATGCACACAACACATGCACATACATTCACACATAAGCATTGTAGCGTTCACACTGACTTCCCTCTTAAAGGCTTAATAATCCCCTGATTTTTCCTGCTTCACATCACATAATGATCAGAATATACCTGCAGGGTCAATGCCAACATCTCAACACTTTCGGCCCTGTGCTCTGCTTCGGAACAAGAACACTCCACTGTGCTCTGCATTTCGAAAGACTCAAAATCACTGTCCACCCACTGACATTTTAAGATGCTGAGTGATTGTATTAATAAATTAGCTGAGTGGTTCTTAAATTAACAATGTGAATGATGACAGTATGTATACTGAACCAGAAAGGACTTTTCCACATATGCTCCCTTTGGTAACATAACTCAGCCACTCAGCTACTACTGTTTGACTACTGTATTTCCTGACAGAAGGCATGTTTGTTCTGAGTCACGTACACTCAGAGGTGCAGGCTGTACTACAGGATATGAAAGCAAGCAGTTTGGGGAAAGGAATGTTCTCATGACTCACTCCTATCTGGTTCACACACAGCGGATCTCTGCTGCCGCTTGACCTTCAGTCCTGAAAAGTTAACACAGCAAGTTTATGAACACAAAAACTAGTTAACATTCTAAATTAGATTTGTCTTTTCTGGCCTACATCCAACATTCTCCTGTTAAAGTTGGAAAGCAGACAACATTATAGTTTTAAAGTGAAGCTGCTAATGACAGGTATTTTGTGCAGATTTTGTGTGCAATGTTTCCTACACAGTTACTCTCTTGCGGCGCAATAGCCTACTTACTGTCCAACATTAACACAGGACTTGTGTAAAATTGTTGCATTCAATCAATTCAGGTATAAGGCATAAACAAACAGTTTGTATTGTTCAGTTAATAAATGTCAGAACTTCCATTCTGACAGTTGATACTGACGACACCAGATTAAATGAAATACACTCATCTGTCACATTAGGGCTGTTTAGGGCTGGGTGGTGAATGGGTATTGTAAGGTATATCGGTATGTACAATTCGACAATTTCGTATATTGTAAATTTGCAGACAAACACAGAGTTGTTAACTATTACATTACAAGTCGCGCAAGTAGCCCACTTCATAGAAAATATTGATATATATCTTGTATCGGATGTCAGCGTAAAAATGCAGAGATACGATTTCTGATCCAGCCCTGCCCTAAGTCTTATGTGTGTGTGTGTGGACTTTATTTTATTGTATTTTGTTTCCTTTTCTGTTTTGTTCAGCTGGGAACATGTGTTGCAGCAGATGCAAACCCCGCAGCTTTGATCACATGGAAAAAGAATGGAAAGCCCTTGGTAGCAGATGGCAAAGGTATCGCATCACATGTTTGCTGACACACCCAGAAACTATCCAACAGACACACTGCACAAGATGCTGTCATGTCGGACATCTCCCCCAGTCGCCATCAAGTGTTTTTGTGCAGTGACAGGAGGGTGAAAATCCAGCCTCTCACAGTGGATCGTATTTACCCCAAAAAATAGTTTAAACAGTAAACAAGAGAAATACATCATTCACTGTTGTTTACTTCCCGCCGAAGGGTGCAGTAATATGATACTGCATCTGACTTTTTGACAGTAATGACAGTAAACCAGTTTACAGTTTGTTTCATCCTCTCTGGGAGCAGTCAGTGAGTAGACAATCACAGAACTGTTCCAATAGGCAACGTTTGCAGTACTGTTTGACCTGCAGTGCAGGACAGTGTGTGTGTGTACTCATATCACACTATTGTGTATATCTTACTGTATCCATATCCACTCCTCACTGTTTATCCTATATATCATTCACTTTATTACTGTGCACTTTACTGCTTGTACACTTCTGGTTAGGTGCTAAACTGTAATTCGTTGCCTCAGTATTCTTTGCAATGACAATGAAGTTGAATCTGATCCTCTGCCTGTCCATCCGTTTCTTTACAGCTGTTGTGATCACCCCCAGCATGAAAGTTGATCCAGCTACAGGCCTATCCACCACCTCCTCCACCCTCCATTATGCAGCCACCAAGGAGGACGTCAACGCAGTCTTTGCCTGTGTGTCCACATATGAGCTGACCAATCAGGAGACTGACCTTGGACGCTTTCCCATTCACTGTGAGTGGAGTACAGCACCGCCATCAGGCTCCATAATTATATTACACCTTCATTATAGCTGCCTACATACAGTTGGTTGTGAAGAAAATTGGGGGTCTAAGGTGAAGTTACTTCTCCAACAAGTATTTTTGATACTTGTTTAGTTAGCGGTTTAATGATTTGACACTAGGGGGATACTTATTTAGAATATGCAGCTCTCTTAGAAGTGACATTACCTTTGTCCTTGTAAATGAAATAAAAGACTGCACCAAGGTTTTGTGCATTTAAAATAGAAGAAAAGCAGCATCACATTAATTTGTACGTTTGGATGGAATAAAGATTAATGCAAATAACCACTGCCCCTGATTTATCACTGCTGGCCACTCCAGCAGAGGAGGCTATGTCTGAAATTGTACGTCTAATAAAAGCAGTGTCAAATCAACTGCACTATGTTCTCAGACACACACAGAAATGCCTAATGAAAATATTTATTTATAGTTATTAAGTAGGCCCTTATCATTATGTTTTTGACCAAAAATCTCCACACACCACCCTCAGCTTTCATTAGTCAGGCTCCAGGCTGTAGAAATGTGAAACAACCATCCCCCTAACACTGTATGAGGCATACTGGCCTAACAATTTTCACAACCAGTTATCATACAGCACACAGTGCATATAGGTGTGTAGGACTGAACAGCTTGTCGTGGGAGAAGGTTTATCACAAAGCTCTGGAAACTGCACATAATGATGATGCAGTGAACAATGTGCTTGCTGAGCTTTTGTACTGAGGTTTTCAGGATCTGAGCGTTTGGGGGAATTCCAACAGGGAAGAACAGTCAGTGCACTCTTTGTGTTCCTGATCACATCCCTGAACTGTGGAGAGCAGATGGAGTGGGAAGCTTGGATCAATAAATAAACGTGGTAAACTTGGGAGGCCTCGGCAGCAGCAAGTTCATGGGGGGTTTAACAATTTGTAAGCTAGTGACGTGGCTTTGTCCACTTTATACCTGTGTAAGGAGGGCGGCCTGCACACCTGGTTGATCAAAGAGGGTCACCTTTTTTTAATGGATATGTGTTGCATAATCCCTGACTTGATCCAGTGTGAAGGTGATTTATTAATAAATAAAGTCAATAAAAGGTGTCTGAAAATATGACATTCCCTCTTAAAGTTTTCCCCTCTGAACCTCTCAGATCCATCAGAGAACATTAGCCTACAAATTATGCCCAAGGAGTCCATCGTAGAAGGAGATAATGTGACACTGAAGTGTCACGCTGATGGCAACCCTCCTCCCAGCTCCTTCTTCTTCTACATCAAGGTCAGTCAGAGCCCAAACTTCAACCTCAAGCAGCTAACTTCTGTCTGCTCTGAAATAATAGTTGATCATTGAGAATCCAGCCATCCAGACTGGCACCACTTACCACACATTTGAATTAGCTTTTTGGAAATTGGCTTTGAAGTGGAAAATATATCATTCAAAAGGCAAACTTTGGTGTTGGTGGTTCAATTTCAAGTGTTACACTCACTGATATCGAGTTATTTTTTTGGATTTTTAAAAAGCCTTGTATTATTAATTAAATAGACCTCTGCATTGCATTCCTCTTTTAAAGAATGACTCCTGTTCACACTTACTTCTTTTCTTCTCATTTCCTGATATTCTATCAGAATGACAGCAGCTAACAGTACCTCTATCCTCTTTGTTCTCCTTCTCTCCTATCTCCGCCAGGGCCAGAAAATGCTGGTGAAAAATTCGGACAACTTCACTTTGACTGCCGTCAACAGAGAGTCTACGGGTGAATACAAATGCTCCCTAGCTGACAACGAGAAAATGGAGGCCTCCAAACGCATCGTTGTTACCTGTGAGTACTCATGACATATGCAGGGCCTCGGCATACTGTACCACAAGAAGCAGGGAAGTCCCTGCTGCAGCACAGAAACAAACCACCAACTATTGTCCTCGCTCTGCCTGTGCCTTGAGCCAACAAACAGACTTCCTACACTAAAGAAGGCTCTGTTATTTACTGTAAATAAAGTCATGAGAGCAGAGGAATGGTAATCAAATTCAAACTTTGAGAGCCCAGCCTGGCAGGGAGGCAGAGCAAGGAGTGCCAGAGAGGGATTAGAAAATTCTGACATCAAGTGAGCAAAAGTGATAAAGTGTTTGGGTGGGCAAGGAGCTCAGGCAACTCATAAGCTGCACACCCCCCATCTGCAGCACTCACTCTCTCAAGTAATTAGTCCCTTTTTCCCAGGTGTATGTTTATGAGCCTTCAGTTCAAATGGGCCCTATCATTACAATAAAAACACATTTTCCCTCTTATGTCCCAGACTGCAGCTTCAGTGCATTTCACAGCTCTTAAACTTGTCAGTTCCAAACTTTTAAATGATTAAGAGATTTCTGTGACTGTGTTTGTGTGTGTCTCAGGGGAATGTGCCCACATAGAAAAGGAAAGTTGCTGTGGCTCCGTCTAGCTGGCTGGCACCAAGTAAATGTCCTTTGACAGCCAGCAGCAAATATGATGTGATTTTTGTTTACCTTTTCCTGCCAAAACAGCAAGTCCTGCACTCACATAGAATACACATATGTTCTGGAGCACAAAATCAGCTTCATCTTCATTCACAGAAAGGAGAACAGCAAGTATTGTGGTGTGTTTTGTTTTCCAGGCATGGGAAATAAACAGGGAACAATACCAATGTATTAACCAAGTGAGATGCCATTATTGACAAGTTAGGTTCTTAGTTGCTGCTGATTAGCTTTTGTTTTTATTTTGTTTGTCATTTTATTTTATTTGTTTTCACTGCAAAGTAATCAAGGAACAGGTTGTTGTGATTTGGCACTATATAAATAAAACTGATTTTAATTTATTCATTTAGCTGACACTTTCATCCAACTAGGGGTTAAGTGTCTTGCTCAGGGACACATTGGTGGCATGTGTTTTATCCACTGGCCATCAGTACAAATTTGTGGCTTATACAGTATATGTGGAGCTCTATGGCTCAGAGGAATAGGAGATAAGAAGATATAGGCTTTGGATACACACACAATACTTGTTAGTAGGATCTTTTCATAGTGGTCTCGACCTGCACATCCCCATCTGTAGCAATAAAATGTCATCTCATAATAACCTTTGACTCAGTTTTTATGCTATACTCTACTAACAAGCGCATGTAGGAGGTGTCACATTTGAAAAATATTTTTAAAATCCTTCAAGGTTACCACATCATGGCAGCATTGGTACCCATAATAAGAGGCAGCAAAATGAAAGTGCTCTCCTTCAGCCAGCCGTTATTACTCAATATCATCTGTCTTGTTTTCTCAGACCTGGACCTGAGTCTGAGTCACACTGGCAAGGTTGTGAAGACACTAGGGGACACCTTGTCTGTGAAGACAGAGAAGAATGCCTCGGGGGACACTAAAGTGTCATGGACAAAGGTAATGGTGCTGGGACTGGGGCTGGGTAAGTGGCATCGAAATACAGAAGTAAATGAAAGAGGAGGATTGTCTAACTGCCTGTCAACATTCTCTTTATAGAAGGGTTGGTAGATTTACTCTTTATTGTTCAAAGGCTTATTTACAATATAGCTGATATATTGGGTCTATTTAGTCTAGTATATAACAAAAGAAAAAGTAAGATAAGATGAGTCTTGCAGCAAAGGGTAATGATGCAATACTGAAGATTAGATGTTTTCACATCACTGATACAGAGATTCCAGTAGCCTCACATAATGGTTGCTAAATTTCCAAATTGAGTTCTGAAATTAACATTCCTTCTACCCTGAAGTGGGTATAGAAATTAGATGGATAGATGAAACTGACATCTTGCATATGTTATTGAATGACTGCAAATGGATAATTGATAATGACACTGGATGTATTACTCCTGCATTTAAATGAGATTTACAGGTACACTTCACAGGTCAGAAAACACAGACTGACATTGTGACACTGGTTTTCAGGATGGAGCGGCAGTTAAGGAGCCGGAGTTTAGTAAGCTGACCTATGCAGATGCAGGAGTCTATGTATGCGAGGTTTCCTTAAGCGGCCTCACACGGCGGCAGAGCTTTGAACTGGTTGTAGAAGGTGAGTCACTGTGTGTGTGTCAGGTTAAATCCTCTGTTGGCTGAAATAAGTGAAATGCTCCAAATGTCTTAGTCTTAATTCATACAGTCCTCTTTTCATTGACAAAATCAAAACCTGGCAGGGTCGAAGTCAGTTGCTTTGAATAAAAATTCAATTTCACATCTCAAAACTAGATTATATAACTTTTAACACTAACTGAACAAAATGTTAAGAATCCATCCAGTTTGACTAGTGGCTAGTCTAGTGCATCTCTTTGTCATAACTGAAGTGCATTCAAAAGTTGAAATCCATAAGGGCTCCTGGATTCAATCTGTTCTTCATAACATCTTGTAAACTCGGTGTACATCACTTGAAATATCTGTGTGATAAAATGTTACTCAATTGAACAGTAACATGTTGTGTGTGTATCAGGAAAGCCTGTGATCACCAGCCTATCCAAGCACCGTGTTGATGATGCCAAACACAAAGTTCTGACCTGCGAGGCTGAGGGAGTGCCAGAACCTAGCTTCCAATGGAGCGTCAATAGCACTAATGTAGGTGTTGGAGCATTGAGTGAATAAGTGCATTTGTGTGTTTAGTATCGGCAGCAAACTGAAGCATAATAACAGCAAAGTGTGCAGTATGATGTGATTAAAGTGTTCTTTGAATTTCTTTACATTTTTATACGGCATGCACAATGACAATGGTGCAGTGTCATGAATTAATTTTTTTTAAGAGACCTGACTTTAATACATCAATGGAATACAAAGAGATCAACGGAAATGCAAACAATGTTGCACCTTGTAGTGAGGGAGATTTAAAAAAGAATACAACATATAGGACAGACTGTCCACGCAAGTGCAGAACAGGACTCACTCTTAATAAGTAATGTACTTAACAAGATGATCTGTGATGAAGTACTCTAGGACTCATCGCGAGCAGGCAGTGCTTTAATGAGGCACCTGTTTGATTTAGGTTTGTTGGCAAGGCTGAGGATGTTCTGTGTTTATTTCTGCAAAATGAGTTTGCCTTACTCCAATGGCAGATCCAGTTCAGCTCTTCTGACTGATGTTGAAATTTGCGGTATTTTCCTCCCATTATCTGTCCACTGTTCTCATCCTGTCAAGCAATACACTAAATGTCCTCTAGAAGGGATAGTCAGTAATGTGTGTGCAACCTAAGAGGCTGCTACATGTGTAAGATTTGACCTTTGAAGCCTCTTTTTCCTGTGTGTCTTTTTGCTGTGCCTTCAGGAGGCGCGCTCCTACATCAACGGCAAAGCCACCCATAAAATCACTGTGATCCCCAAGGAGAACCTAACGGTCACCTGCAGCGTCAGCAACAAGCTGGGGGAAGATGTCAGGACCATCAACGTTTCCTCTGGTGAGTTCATGCTTGTCAACAGCTTGGTTGGTTGGCTTTATTTTCAATAATTTTTTAGAAATGAGAGAGGCTCAGTAATGCTTATTTGCTAGAGAACTGAAGTTACAGCTTTGATCAGACAAATCAAGTATTTTCACTTGTTTGATGTGGTACCGCCTTTTGTCATTCATTAGATCAAAGTAACCAAGCAGCAAACTGCTGTTACAGACACCACTTGAATGTGGAGAAACTTTTCAGAACATTATACAACTGCCCTTTGTTCAATTTCAACCTGTTAAAAACAGCAGTTAAGTGTTAATCAACTGTAGCAGAATGTGGAACGTTTGATGTGTGCAGTGCACCAATTGCACAGAATCCTCACTCTGTGCCTACTATGGAGACTGGAATGAAATAAACTACCAAACACGGACTGTTACAGTGGGATCCTTAATTTAATACATTATGTTCCAATGCTGTTGGAACATAAGATAATCCTTACTCTTTCTTTATGTTTGTGATAATCCTCCTTTCTATTGTCCCCCCTCCTTCAGTGTCTTCTGGGTTTGGCTGTATTTCTTGTCTGCTGGGGTGCTAAACCTGTCTTGCCTTTCTTTCCCTGCAGTCCAAGAGTCACTGCCTTGCATACTTTGTAGGCATAGTAAATTGTTGCTGTTAGAGTGTATTGTCGCTTTCCTCTTTCTGAAGTTACAGTTTGCTTGTTGTGAGGCACAATCAGAAAACCTTTGCTTTCACTTTGTCAGGCTTTACCTGACCAGGGCTCTCTTACTTTTAGTCTTTGTTATTGTTTTTGGGGTTTATGTATGTTTTGCTTTTATGAGTTCTAATTTATTTGTGTTTGATTTCAGTTTTTGAGGAGGAAAAGAAGGAAAAAGGTAAGATTTTGTTTTCTTTTGTCCTTACTTTTACTTTCTAGACTTTTTTTTAGGAGACTATTTTCAAAAACATCAACTAGTCTCTAGGTAAAACCGGGAATCGTGGCAAATGGAACTAAACTGTTATCTAGGTGGAATCTATGGTTTTGCTTCCAATAAACTCCTCTTCATATATAAACTGACCCATATTCTTTGCTTCACCTGCAGACAGTATTGTATGAACATGCACTCTCATCTCTGCTTTTCCATCTTTAGTACTTTAATTGGGACTGGCTAACTCTTAGAGAAGATTAGAAACATTATCAAGAGGAGATTTGATCATCTGATGATTATTAAAGGACTGCATAGTTTTGTCATCAGACCTGTCCGTGTATCTCTGATAATGCCATCATCTAAACTACACATTATAAGGTCTTGTAGTAATAAAACAAAAGTAGATTTATACTGCATGTTTATAAAAGATCAGACTTCAGTAACTCCGTTTACCTGGTGAGAAAATGCAGATTGATGCTGAGTCAGACTGAAGCACTCAGTAGGCTGCTATGAGTGACTGCCAAATGTGTAAATGTGATGGACGAGAACATCAAACTGACAGTGATGCATTTTCTCGCCTCCATGAAACACTGATATACACACTCCTCTAAAATATCCTGCATGTCATCATGTGCTGCTGATGTTTCCAGAAATATAAACAAACTCTGTGATTTCATGTGGCTACAGTAACAATGACAGCACGTCAGGGAACTTAGAATGTGATAAATTATCAGCTGATGAAAATGAATTGCTTGAGTATAAACTAGTGCAAAGAGGTGTGTTTGTGAAGTTGGTAGTCTGTGCAACCCAAGATCAAATGTTAGCATGGAGCAACAGTGACCGTGAAGGATCTACAGAGGACATATTATGATTTTGATGTGTCCTCATCACACATTACTTTCAGAAACAGTGACTTTCGTTTGGTGCTCTGTTGGAAAGTTCCTGTATGAGTTTAGTGTGAGTGTGTGTTCTACTGCTGAAGCAGAGTGCTGCTGTCTGTTTTCAGGTGCTCAGCAGGATTCAGAGGACCAGGCGAAGGTCATAGTGGGTGTTGTGGTAGGGATCCTCTTGGCTGCTGCTCTGGTGGGACTCATCTACTGGCTCTACATCAAGAATTCAAGGTATAGAAACACATTCTTGAGTGTACATTTGCATTTTATAATTCAGTTTTAAGTACCTGCTCAAATCCTTTTGGCACTGCTCTTGCCAGCTGACACTGCATTCCAAACACCAGAATTTGTAATCCTAAAACTGGATTTAGAATAATAAGCAGTCAAGGGTTACAGCCACAGTCTGACAATAGATTGAACAAACTCTCCTGTCTGTCCTGAATATGATTCAAGTGGAAGGCTTTCAGAGCACAGGGCAGAGGGAGACCAGCAGAAGCATGTGTGAGTTCAGAGGAGAAAGTAGGAATGTGGCATGTGCATATTGATAAGATGAGTTTGCAGTAAAGATGAAACAGTCTGAAAATGTCATACATTACAATAGTAGTTATCAAACTTTTCACGTTTATCAGTATTATAAGATGATCAGGTCACTGATCAGTTTTTCAAGTTGAAATGCATCCGCATGGTCCTAAAGCCTCCATTTAAGTTGATCGTGTTGTCAATGGTTTTTATTCGAATTATTTTATTGATAGACTATAGCCTACATATAATTATGGAGGTCCAGACCTCGGTGACCTCATGGCTGGTTCCGGCCATGCTGTTACACTATGCAAACTACACAGCATGTTATCATGTGCAACGAGCTAACAAGTCTGCAGACACACGACGTATTTAGCAGCAGAACAACATGTAGAGTTTTTACAGTAGGTAACACTGAGAGCTTTAGTTAACAAGCTGTTAGCAAGTCAGACAGACAAACCATGTTATGTTTTGTCATTCCGAAGTCCCTACATCATACATTGAGCTAAAAGCTAACTTAGCCTAGTGAATGCAGGCTAAGTTAGACTCATAAGAATCGAATTGTGGCCCCCTTTCGCAGTGATTTGGAAAAATCTCCTGGAGTGCTGTGTCTTTTCAGTGGTGCAAAACAATCCACGTTGCATGCTGCCCCTGCGTCTATCTGGAATTTTATCGTGGTTTATGATTAAACCGGTAACCGTTTCCTCCCCAGTATGCAGCCTGCTGTGGAGTGACTGATTGTGCCGTCTGCAGCAGGGTGAGAAGGTTTTTCTGTTGCAGAGGTGAATTACACTTTTTCAATTCTGTATTCACCATAGACAAGGAAGCTGGAAAACTGGTGAAAAGGAGGTGGGAACGTCTGAGGAGAGCAAGAAACTAGAGGAGAACAATCACAGTGTTTAAAAGCACCAGGCTGGACTGCATGGAATGAGAGAGGTAAGAATCATCACTTTTAAATATATACATACACATAAACACACGCAAAGTAAACCTAATCAAGTTTTCAGGTCAAGTGCAAATTTGAAATAGTTGATTTTGAATGTCATTAGGGCAGGCGCCATAGTATCAAAACAGATTAAGTTTATTGGCCACGTCCAAGCTGCCTTCAACTCCTGTGCACAGTCTCAAGTCTCTCGTGGTTATAATAAATGTTGTATCACCTGCTGCGTTCACTCCAGGTTGCTAATAAAACCACATAGCTATAAGGGATTCTGTAACTGTAACCTGTTATTCATTTACAGAGCACAACCATATAATGTGCAATGCAATTATTGACGGTTTATTAAATACTGTAAATCAAAACACTCCCCAGACTCATAAATCCAGTGTAACGTTAACTAAATAAAACTGTGACATTACATGATCAACAATAAACCTGTAACCTCTTTCCAGCCAACAGCAATAATTAAGGTGACGGCAGCCAGCGGTGCGTAAAGGATTACGTTAATCGACCACCACAAGTTTGGCAAACGCTCATTCACAGTAAACCTCTCGTAGGTCGTAGCTGAAGCAAGCTAACGTTAGATGGCCAATACTGAGCTAAACATGCTTACTCACCACAGGTTACTAACTTATTTGCGTTCAGCGCGTCTTTGTTTGGGTCTTGTTTTATGAAGTTTTAAAGCCAAATTTTATGATGAATGACTCAGCAGCTGCCGCTGTTTGCTGTCCTCTCTCACGTGCGGCCGCACAGCAGAATCTACGTATTACGTAGGCAGGTTGTAGGTAACGGAGGGAGAAAAAATAAACATTGTTAACGAGCCCCACGCCTCGAGTCTGAGTCTCTAGCACGAGCTGAATGCATCCTCAGCGTTACAGACAGCAGGTCCAGGGTCCTCTCCCCTCTAGTATGGCAGCTCACATACTGGGTGAAGTTGGTTAGTGCGGCGGTCATGGCGACGTGGTTGAAGTCACCAGAGATCAGTATGAGGGCACTCAGGTGTTGAATTCAATGTTTTTAATTTTTAGTTCAGAGTTCAGCAATGGCGGTGTGGATGACGTTACATGCCGACGTCGGGTTGGCAGAGGGCAGAATGTAAACAGCTACAGCGATGGCATGTGGAATTTCCCGTGGAAGATAATAAGGCCGGAGTCCCACAGCAAGCAGTTCAGTGTCCGGGCTACAGATACGCTGTTTAACCTTAATATTACAGGGATTCCACCATCTGTTGTTAACTAGAACGGCAAGCCCCCCGCCTTTACGCTAACCGCTCTCGGTGCAGTCCCTGTCGGCCTGAACAGTCTGAAAGCCGTAGCTGTACTTGTTTAGTGCTAGTAAGCAAATTTTAACATGCCAACACACTAAATGGGTGTCACTATACCTGTTTAGTGGGAGCATGTTAGCAGCTACCAGCTTGTGTCTTGAAAGTGTTGCTGGGTATACATGGCTTTGTGCATATGCATACCTGGCCTCCACGTCTGACTTTGTGTACTTGTAGTGATAGCAATTACTTTGATAAGTACCACATTGTCATATTAGACAGGACTATTGTGATTGCCAAAACTAAGGATATAAGATCTAGTCTGTAATAATCAATGTGAATTTAAGTGTATATATAAGTGTTTTTCTGGTCATCATGTCTAAAAAACATTCTTCTTGTATGATTGCAATGATGTTAATGGCTTTATTTCTCTCTTTGTGGGGAAGAAGCAGTCGAAAGCAGCCTTGAATATACAGACTCCCAGTTGGCTGCTGACGCACTTCATCAGGCTCCATATAAGTAGCAGTCAGAGTCATGTTCCTCCAAGTCCTGCCAACAGCCTGCTGTCCCACCTCACTGCTTGAAGTCTGCACTGAGTCTGCCTCGTGTTACTGTGTCATGTTTTTGTGTTCCTGGTGAATGCTCCCTGTTATGTTTTTGTTTGAGTAATTCCATGAGGCATGCTGAGGTGTTTTTGCCACATAGTAGTTAGAGGACATTTTTTTTGTTTGTGTCTTTTCTTCTTGACTTTCATCAAAGAATGTAAGCTCCTTCTACACATTTTAAGGCCTGTATTAACTGTGTGTGTGCCCTGGCTGAGCAATCCACTGTTGATTTTTATTTTTCCTTTTTTGAGCTTGTGTGGAAAAGTCTTTGTTTAGCTGTGCTCAGAGAAAAAGACACTTGCTGTATAACCCTCAAACTAAGTGATCTCAAACTTTTCAGAAGATAACCTCAACATATCGCAATCTCCTGACTTATTTACACTAGTTTTTAAACACTGGCAAGTAGATTGTCTGAATATGTAGTTAATGGATGCCCACAAAATTGGACAATTGCAAATTAAGCATCATGACACACTGAACCACTAATTAGTTTTTTTTGTAAATTACTTTTTGTTAGTCTCAAGAGGGACTTTTTGTTGCAAATAATTTTATCTGAAAAGGCAAAAAGAAAATATGTTATTAGAAAAGTGCAACAACTAGTAAGAAATGCAAAATGGTGTTCTACCATGATGTTTCTTTTTTAAGTTCATGCTAAAGTGAGCTGGATCATCTGTGATTCAGTTTCATACACTACATTGTTGTCTTCATGTCTGCCACCTGTCTGCTCTACAGTTGCTGCACCATCCTCTCAAGGTTGTGACTGTGTTCTTGGAGTAGATTTAATATTTTCTGTTTCATGTTTTCATTTTGGAAAGCTTTACTGATGCCAGGTCTGAATGTTTTTTTGTGTTTTTGATGTATTTATATTCTGTGTGCAACCTACTAGGATGGTGATGCTGCAGCATGCAAGATCATTTTTTAAGTCTGTATGGAAGGCATCATCATGTGTTGAAAGGTACTGTATGGTAGGAGAGTTGTAAGACTTACTATCAAGTATCTGGCTCATTCTCTGCTGTATAATTATTATTATTATTGCTATTTTAGCTTAGTGGTGTGAAGGATAAACCAAACTGAAGACTATGGTTGAGATGGGCAGCTCTCTGGGTTTTACATAATTTTGCTCGGGTTCAACGATTACAGTTTTCTGACGCCGTCACAGGGGAGAAGTGAAAACAGGCGTGTTGGGTTTAAAAGGCACGTACGGACGTTTTTCTCTAAAGGTTGTTGATTTTCTTTATGATTATATTTGCTTGTTAAAGCCTTAGTTAGATAACTGCTGATCATTGTGAGACAGTTTGATTGTTTTTCAACAGCACAGTGACCCACCAAGAGCAAGTCTTGAAAGTGAGAGGAATCATAAGCCCATTTATAAATAGTAAATAGTTTATTTAGTACACAACTGTTTGTTAAACTTGAATACATTTGCTTATGTTGGTCTGATAAATAACTTGACAAAAGAAGCATCTTCATCTTTCATCTCAACTTAAAATCTGTTAATATTTCTGATAATACCAGTGGATTGTGACTATTGCCAAAAGTCAGATTTATAAGTGAGTCTACATTAAACCTCTTTGTTAATAATTAGGACACACAACTGATTTTGTTGACTGTAATTCCATTAATATGTGAACACAGGCAAGAAAGTAGTAAATCCAGTATATTAAGCTGACTTTTGAAAGAGCTACAGATTGGTTGATCATAAAATTTGTAAACTTGGATGCCAGCTTTACAAACTGTAACAAAGACACGACGCTTTAGCTCTCTTTCTTTAAACTGTCAATGTATTGACTTCCCCATCCAGCGTCTTCAAAGTGGTAGTGGTATAATCATATTCTGTGTTCCAAAACAGCATAACATGAAAGCAGTCAACATTTTTAAGCACCTGGTCAGTTGTTTTCTCATGCCTTTTTAATCTTTTGAAATAATCAGGTCAGAAGTGAAACCAAAGAGGGTAAGATGAGAAGGCCATCGTAGTGTTGTAAATAAAGACTTTTGTTTTTGTATTGTTGACAATAAAGCGTACATTTTTGAAAAAATAAATGGTTGTTTGCCGTTTATGTGGGTTTTTAATCAGTCCCAGCATATAAATCTGTATGTGCACAGACACACAGTAGCATGTAGTTTTGATTGGTTCTTTCTGTAATTATTCAAGTTTTATGTTTAAAAAATACAATTAATTCCCCCAAGGGAGCGTAAAGTACTTTTTCAGTAAAGGACTTAGTATTATTGTAATTAAAGAGGTCATATTATGCTTACTTTCAGGTTCATCATTTTTATTTAGAGGTTGTACCAGAACAGCTTTACATGGTTTTATTTTCAAATACCATCATGTTTTTTGTCATACTGCACATTGTTGCAGCTCCTCTTTTCATCCTGTGTGTTGAATGCTCCGTTATAGCTACAGAGTGAAGCATCTTACTTCTAGTTGATCTTTGTTGGGAGTTGTACACGTTGTTGGTAGTAGTAGTAGTGTTGAATGTTAAGAATTACTTTAAGATTACAAACAAAAAAAGTACATTTTTATATGGACATAATCCATTGTCTAATGAGCTACATATTTATTTACAGATTATTGTCCTTTTATAGTTTTACATATATTTGCATGTTATTTAAGAAAGCAGACATGTATTGTATGAATAATATATTAATATTTTTGTACAAAAAATAACTAAATGTAATTACTGGCATAACACATAAAATAACAGTTAGGTTGGTGTTAATTTACAGGTAATGTATGCCATGGGCTTACCAGTATCACCTGTTGTTAGCAACATCTACATGGAAGAAGTAGAAAGCAGAGCCCTGAAGTCCTTTAGATGAACAGCACTGAGTCAACAGCTCTCTCTCTCTCTCTCTCTCTCTCTCTCTCACCCCAACCGGTCGAGGCAGATGGCCGCCCACCCTGAGCCATGGTTCGAGGTTTCTGGAAGTTTTTCCTTGCCTCTGTTGCCTAGTGCTGCTCTTGGTGGGAACTGTTGGGCTTCTGTAAATATCATCACAGAGTACGGTCTAGACCTGCTCTTTTATGAAAAGCGCTGTGAGATAACTGTTGTTGTGATTTGGCGCTATATAAATAAAATTGAATTGAGCCACTAGTACACACATGTGGACGACATATGGAACAAGCCTTCACAGAAAACATCAACTCAGTTGACAGTGATAATAATAATAATAATAATAATGCATTTTATTTGTCAGCGCCTTCAAAGTCACCCAAGGACACTTTACAAAAACCATACTATCATACCACCATACTATAACATCAGTAACATCCAGTTCATGCAAGAGGATGTCAGCAACAACAGTTTGGCTTTCTTGAACTGTGCCATACACATTGAAGAGGACAAGGCTCTCCACATAGCTGATAACATACCAACAAGTGCTCAAGCCGAAGAGAAGAAACATAAACACCTGAAGAGGAGTAAAAGAAGCCATTCACACCAGAATGATGAACCTTCACTGCCAATTTTCCCCAACCTACAGCGCTGTCCTTTCATCCCTTCCCAGGAGATTGTACTCACACTTCGACTCATCTGCAATGCCAAAGATGATCGTGTGATCAGGTGACTCTAATGATCATAACGACTGTACGAACCAAGTGATGTCCATCACCTTAATAACGACCCCACAGAGGTTAAATAGCTTGGATTCCCCACCAGTTAGTCAGAAATAAAGAAACCTATTGGATGAGAGGTGAAACAGCTTCTAGTATCTTCAGCCAAGTGTAGTTCTCCTTGATTTTAACCCACCTTGGACAGTTCATAGCACTGTTATGTTAAACACAGATCCCTGTGTTTAACATAACTAGGGGAAGCCTAGAGGTGTTAAAAAAAGATAAATAAACATGGAAATGACCATTAAAAATGACCTCTCACTCTGTAAGGCAAGAGCCTGGAATGGGACAGTGCTGTTTCATCATACCCTTTTTGGACCCTTGCAGCGTCTCATAGTCAAAGCACTTACCAAGTCCAGTCAACTAAGTCTGAGGGTTCGGTTTAAGGTTAGGGTGGAGAACAGGATTGGGTCAATACTAAGAAAGCTGCAAGCAGCAATAGCGGAAGCCAAGCAACTGGACCATTCCAAACAGGCACATTTTGAACGGGCACTGAACTAGTTCATTTAAATCTCAAGTGCCTTCCATCAGTTGTTAAAGTTCCTCCTGATCTGACTTCAGTAATTTAGCTTGCGGGCAGAGTGAAGCTCCCTGAAGTCATAATTAGGGGTGACACTCATTTGTTATATCAAACCTCTTTTGACTCGCTAGAATCTTCGGGCTCAAATAATGTGTTTATTTAATAGTGGAACACACTGTCAGGAAACAGATGTCCCACAGTATCATGAACCAACACAAAGCATTAAAATAAAAGAAAGGACTGTGACATTTGACTCATCCATGAAAAGACAGCAAGAAAAAAGCATTAATAATAAGCATAAATTAATTGCACATTACACTATGCTTTACATATTATCACACTTTTTTGTCACCCGAGCACATTTATGCGAAAATGGAATAAGAAAATAAAAACTTGTCTTGCAACCTAAGGCCACTTATAACAAGAGAGTCCAATGGAATTTGACCACAGAGTCATTCAACTTTGAGAATATAAAAGTGAAAACAGACCAGTGCAATAATTAAGCTTAGTTAAAGGGGAATATCACCGAGTTTCACATCTGATTACCTTATTTCTATAATATGTTGTGGCTCGGTCTACCGGAAATAAACCAGCCGATGTGTTGCATAGACGTTAACTATGCTCTACTCTGTAAATTGGAAAAGGAGAGCATTCTTGCAGGATCAGACAACATTTTCTAGCATTTCTAGCCAGCTAGCTAGTTTGAATGTTGAAATGTAAATAATGTTGGCAGTCCAGAGGAGCAGATAAAGCTGATGAAAAAGCATCATCTAAGTGCTGCATTATATGTTTATATATGTGTTGTTTAGCTGACATGCTTTCACGGTTGTGCTGCATGGTGTTACTACACTATATTGTGTGAATCTGCCTTCATTATGGATGATAACAGATTAGAAACTTCAGATTAGAAAATTGCTCATTATCTCAGTTTTAGGCCCTAATGTTAACATATGTTCTTTTTAAACTACAGTGGTGTTCCCCTTTAAAGTGCTGCTTAAAAAGAAAGGAATGGATGGCAGTGTGGTGGATGCATCCACTTATGGAAATACATGGGTAAGGTGGGGGGGCATTTGATGTCTGTTATCTGTAACACTGACCAGTTAAACATATTTTGTCCGCCCAGTCTGTAGTCTTTTAGAGCACATTCACTGACGAGAATTTTGTCTACATTACGTAGCATAATTGTATTCCCATGCAGCCAGAGAGCCATACTCACTATGCTTACAACCTTCTGTTAACCTGGTCAGAGGTTACGTTGACCTCTTTTTGCTTAGATGTATATAAATGTCAAGTGAGGGTTAGTATAACCTCATACGATCAAAACCTGTTAAGATGCCTGACTTACTCCAACACACGAAAACAGCACTCATGTAAAGGAAGCGCTTTCTTTCACATTTGGTTTCAGAACAGAGGCAAAACAAACAAAAAAGACATGACAGGGAGCTCTGTTTGGACTGGGATAATCCTTTCCTCCTGCTGTATTATCCATTTTTGCAGCCTGACTGTTCAATTCAATTCAATATTTGACCAGAAACACTGCTCCTTTGCAGGGAGCCTCAATTACAGAGTACTCTGTGAAGAACACTACAATATATAATCTCAAATTAATTTTGAAAAATTAATTTATTCTGCTCGTCTCTGGGGACACTTGGACTAACTCACAGCACAAAGGAGGAACCTCAGTCCAAACAGACAGATTCTGACTTACTCTGTTTGTTTATTCAAAAAGACACATAGATCCAGATGTGCCTAGGTCAATCTGCAGCATCAACTGTGAACATAACAAAATTTACTACAGTAGTCAGGATGACATTCATACAACACATTGTATCGTCAGGAAGAAAAGACACACTCTACTGATCTATCTACACTCCAGTAGGTAAGCTGTCTGTCTCTGTTAGCCCAATGTTTCCCACACAATACATTCTGATACACAAAAAATTGCGTTGCTTACATAATCTAGCTGTAACCAGTTAAGAAGTAGCAAGAAGCGAGTGACTGTTATGGAAGCATATACTACTAAGTGACTCAAGATTTCATCAAAGTCATCAAAGTTCAAATTCTACAGGTAGCAATTTTAATGCCAGACTTTGAAATATGTAAAAGAATAACATTGTACTCTTCAAACTGCTGAGATGTGGAAACCCAGCAACATCGCTAAAATAAAGACAGAGGGGGAAAGAAACAAAAGGGTTCATATAAGACAACATAATGGTGTTTTAAATAAACTGGATACTCTGTTAGTCTCCAACCTGTCTGAGCGACTTGGTTGTAGTGATGTCACTCTGTTCCCACTTCTAGAACTCAAAAACCTTTGCGAGTACAATGTTATCATAACCAATGATAATGCTGGCCAGAACAATAAAATGAATTCCCACATGATAAGCTAGAATTTGATTGGTATGAGACTAATGGCTAGGTTTTACCATCCCTGTAAACATAGCTCCTGTCTTATGGATAACAGGTCTGGCACAGATCTGCCAACATCTTGCAAACTATTCTAAAAAGAAAAACGGTATTACACTTGAACAAATTCAATATATGCATAGGTGAGACATCTTGCAGTCATCAAGGACAAACACAGCTGATTTGAAATTTTGAGGTATGGGGGTTTTAAATTGACCTGGACTACACAGTGAATAGTTTGAATGCTCTGCAGCATAATTATAATTGCAGCAGTAGAAAGGCATAATTACTGCAGAGCTATAAAGTAACTCTCACTGTAAATCAGCTTAAGAATGATTCTTCAGATGTGGGGAATGTGGAAATTTTCACCATATGATGGCTGTGAACTGAAGTGAAGAGAGGCGGGTGCAGCGTGACAGCTGCAGAGTCCATCGTCTCATAGCTCTAACACGTGACATCTGACTGACTGACCTACACAACAGTTTTGCTCCTGTCATGTAAATGAGCTGAAATGCAGGCACGATCTTCTGGCTTTTGAGAAGTGTCCCCAAACATTAAAAATGTTCCACCGCTTAAGGGCAAAACTGGGCCTGAGAGGAGATCAGAGTGCACAAAGGTAGAGCTCACTCATGCAGAACAAATACATTCATAAGCTTTCTGTCCTCAAGTGAAGAGAGTAATTAAAAAGGCCCCAGCTGATTAATCCTCTGGTCTAGGAACAGAAACCAAGAGTGAAACTAACCCCCCACCCTATTCCTGCTTCATCATTTTGTCCAAATGAGATATCAAATCTAATGAGAGTACCCCTCTGGCACTGGTGTCTCCAAGTCTGGAGGAAACAAGTTAATCAAATCAATAAGGCATCTTCAGGCTCCATCTAAATGCTCCCGACTCATCAGACGTTGTCAGGACCTACCAGTCAGCCAGACCCTGGGCAAACAATGGAGTATTCCTTAATAGGCAACACAAGAGGGAAGGAAATGGTGAGAGAGTGAGAAAAGGAGTAAGAGAAGAGAAACGGTGGAGTCTGGCTCCCCCCACTGGTTGTTTTTAGCTGGTTTTAGCTGGTTGTCAGCTAAAACGAGCTAGAGTCTTGTCTTAGTCTTGTTCTATTAAAAAGGCCCAAATTAAAGTCTGGTAAGTGGCAGGTTGTGAAAGGAACAGTAGCAGCAGTAGTAGGACCAAGGCTTAAAAACATTTAAGCAGTCCAAGCTCCTAGACAAAAAAAAGCGTTTGAAAACCAGAGGCCAGCACTGGCACAGCTCACTGTAAACAACAATAAGCCCGGTTCTTTTTTTCACAGGTTTAAATCATTCACAGGCGGTCTATTCTCCCTTTTTAATTTTCTGTGTTCTGCTGTGATTTGGTTTTAGCCACTGTGTTGCACGCCGTCACCTCTGTTCAGCAACAAAATTCTAGTCTCCTTTCTGTTGATCATTGTTTTTGCAGCAGCCCGAGGTCAAGCAGTCTGAAGAAGCCCTTTTTAGTCATTCAGAGGCACAGCTTCGTTCTTGTGCTCCCCTTTCGATTTCTCTAGGACTAGAGGTTCAGTCTGGGGGCCACTAAGGCAAACTCTCGCAGAATGTTTCGGGCCACGTCCACTTTGTACTGGGCGATCATCAGTGCCCTCTTCACGTCCTCAAAGGAGTATCCCTCCCCCATCAACTTGGCAATCTTGGCGTCCACGTTCTCTGACTCCGTTTCTGGAGAGATCTTCCTGGGCAGTGGCTTAGGTGGCCTGGCAGGGGCCTGCAAACAATCCATTGGGACTTGGCGAGAGAGAAAGAGAGAAAACATGTCAGTGGAAAATTGCCACTGGCCACAAGCAGTAACTTGAAAGTGTTATTAGTGGTGAAGGAGAGGTTTGTAGACTAAACAGTGGAAGATGGTAGGGCAAGCAGGGTACATTTCTAAAAATAAATGCTACTGAAACCAAACTCAATATACACAAATACTTAGAAGCTGATGTGATGATTGACAGAGGGGTATTTGAGTTTGAGAGTGAGTTTTCTGCCAAAAATCCTTTCTTCTTATATTAATAAAGGGATCCTGCTCAATTTCAAAGGCTCATACTTTTCCAGACCTTAATTCAGAATATGTGAGATAACTGAGGTCTAAAACAGACAACATGTAGTCATATGTACCAATGTTTTTGGGAAAAGTACACACTCATCAACACCTAGACGTGTTTATTTGTAGGAGCAATATGTGTGTATTTTTTCATGTAGACATTTGCTGAGAAGGAGATGTAACTCTACCTTGACTGGCTGGTAAACGGTCGTTTTCCAGGCAGCCTCTGGAGGCTTTAACATTTTCTGTATGTCGTCTGACGGGAGGCAGGGGAGCAGCATTGTTCAGCATGTCAAACACTGTGTCTAGACCACAGATGAGACAGAAATTCAAGTAAAACTATATGCTGTGCCACAAAGTAATGCTGTAAATGTGCGATCATTTTTCCATAATTTGGTATGTGTAATAAACATTTCTAGGCGGCTGTGGCTTGGAGGTAGAGTGGGTTGCACACTAATTGGAAGGTCAGGGGTTTGATCCCTGGCTCCTCCAGAGACAGTGTCCAAGATACTGAACCCGAATTGCTGTGCCATTGGTGTGTAGTGTGTGTGATTGGTTTATTTCTGTTTCTGGAGAGCAGTTGGCACCTCGCTGGCAGCCTCTGTCATCAGTGAATGAATAGGTGAATGTGACATGTTGCGTAAAGCTCTTTGAGCGTTTGGAAGACTAGAAAGGTGCTATACAAGTACATCCCATTTACTTTATTCACTGAGGTGGAAAATCTTAAATTTACACACCAACATAGGAGACACACTGATATACGTTTCCCTTTATAATTTTGTTTCGAACGAAATGTTGTGGGTATCCCAGCTCACCGGGGGTTAACAGCAAGTGCTCTTGTCCAGAGGGGGGTCTGTGTGGTCGTGTGATGACAGAAGAGCACACGGACGAGTTGCAGGGTGAGGACAGCGACGAGGTGGAGAGGTCGGTGAAGCTGTGTCGCACTGGTGGAGGAGGAGGAGGAGGCGGCTGGGACGGAGGGCGGCTGTTGTAGGGGTCGTCCACCACTGAAACACAACAGATGCCGCAGTCATGACTGAGCTCTCTGCTCTGCTCCACAGTTTAAAATTATTCCATGAAGAGGTGACTGAACCAAGTGCAGCCCCAGAGATGAACAGAAATGCTGCTGTAACCAACGGCAGATCACGGTTTTGATAAATGATACTAAGTTGATGTTATTTGCTGGTTTATGAATTGATCGTATTACATCTGATAATCCGTCTGTAATGTATCACGCTAAACTTCACAAAATAAAACTAACTGTGAATAAAGAAACAATAAATGACTTGAGGTTCACTGAGGGACTTTTTACAGTTAGACAGTCACATGATGCACAGGGAAGGGAGCTGAGGCTGGCTGACAGCAGGTGGGAGTGGGGTAGACTACCTTGGGGGGGCAGCAGAACGTCATAGTCTGAGGGTGCCTTGTTGGTGTTGGTGAAGGGGCAGAGAGCAGTATGTGCCGCCCCTGAGACCAAGCCCCCGATCGACTCTGAGGGTCCACCTGAGGAACAGAAGCACTGTTCAACGTGATGCAGCCTGAGCCCCTCCAGCAGGACACAGCATATTCAGTTTTTCGATGAACAATAAAGAATTCTGCCTGTGTCATTAGATATTTCCACTTGGTTGTTATGCACTTTCACCTGATTGAAGATTTATTTTTAAGATTTAATATGCCGACATCCCTTTAACCCTTTAAATGAGGCAGAATAAGACAGATCACTCTACTGGTATCAAGATCATTTTCTTTAAAAAGACAGTGTCAAAAACAGCAAGACAACAAGACTTAGTGCTAGAACACGTTAAGACAGCAGTTGATTAAAGTCATCCAGATGTGTTCACACAGTTTCTATAGATCATTTCTGTGTATCACTTCACTCAGCTCATTGCAACACTCACTACCTATCAGATGTCATGGTAAGAGGGGAAAATATATTTATCACTTGACTCTGCTGCTATTAGGACTCACCAGGCTCTGGGGAGTGGGGCTTCTTCTCCTCCATGGAGGGCTCTGGAGAGCTGTTCTCCAAGTGTCTGAATGAGAGAGGAAATCTTTTTGGTTCACAGCAGCCTAACTAAAGTGTTATGGAACTATCGCTGCTGTATCGCAACAGTGACTTCAATACATTGAGAGAAGGCTAGTACCTGCTGGGCATAGAAATGCAGATGGGAGACTGACTCAGGCAGAGGCTGGATGAAGGGATCTGATAGCTGTCTTCCACCCTCTCCATCACTCCATGCTGTCGTTCTACCACAGGACTGCTGAAAGGGTTGGAAGGTCTGTAAAGATTTGTCAATGAAACTTTTACATCATTGTCATTCATACGCTACAAAACTTTACATTCAAACTGCAAAAAAATACTGCTCAAAATGCAGAGGATTACTCACAGTGGTTGGTTGTCAAAGTAACACAACATGCTATCTACTCTCTGTTTCTACTTGTGACGTGTCCAGGTGCACAGCTGAAAAGATATGTCACTGTAAACAGAACTCGTCTCGACCCTCAACAGTCTGAGAATGGCACATTTGAGCTGACCAAAAGAACTAAAATCAGACTGCAAACTTCATAATGTTATCGCCTCAAAAGAAAAACCAAACATTATAGTTCAACAAGCCTCCCATATCATTGGTGACCGCCCAAGATCTGAAGTTAATGTAACAATTCAAGTCATTACAGCCTACCATCCTCTGATGCATGGCTACAGCAAAATCACATTTAAAAATACTATTTTTTTCAAAGCATTTTTTTAAACTAATGAAAATTCATCTGACCCGCACAACATCTGGGAGTCCTTAAGTGCATTTATAGGACACACTATTAAGATGAGGAAGTGGAAACAAAAAAACTGCTCAGTGCCTTTATCCTGGGTGATTAAAAGTTCACTGACACAATTTTTTAGGCAGGCTGTCCATGGCAAGCTGAAAAAACAAAACAACACGATACAACACTGGTCTAAATATTAGAGGAGCCTGTGAACTAAAGTGTAGATTCTAATTTCCTTCTAAGTTGTTGGGAAAATCCACCCTCATCTCACTCATTACTGTACAGATTGAGCTAAATGATAAGCCATGAAGTGTAGCCTGCATTAAATAACAATGATCAGGTCCTCTCTTGATTACAATGTCTGTAAAGGTACCAAGTACACTTACTGTGTCTTCAGTAGATAATGAAACAAGAGCACGAGTCTAGCATGAATGATGCAGGAATTTCTTTGGCCAATCAGTAACAAGAAACACCTACGCAGCCTAATTTTCCACCACAACCACTGTGCAAGTGTACATATTACACATTCACATGTAAAGTAAGCCAATAGATGCAGCAAGTACCAACTTCAAAAACTTCAGGTTCCAGTTTTGGGAATGTATAGTGTACATAATAATAAAAACGTGTGTGAGTGAGTGATCCTATGATCTATGCTTGGAGAATGCAGTTGTGTAAGAGAGTATACACATCACTCTAACAACCTCACAATATTTTACAAGACTAAACTGTTCTCTGCAGGACCAGAGCTTCCGCTAAAGCTTCATCAGAAGTGACAGCTCCATCCCCTGCCTCCACCACTGCCCGATACACAGCTATTCCTAATCTAATTCTGACTGCAGCTAAAAGGCTATTAGACGTTCAGCCACCATTTTTCAAAGCTGTTACTAACCAGGACTTCTCCCTAAGGCTAGTAGACCTCACTCGTGTCTGAAACCACAGTGCAAAGAATGGAGGAGATTTGGGAGATGAAACTTCACACTAAAAGGAAATATCTAAAAGGAGAACAGGAGGTGCTTTATAAGAGCCACATACAAAAAGTAACTGGTTAGTCTTCAACTGAATGTTACTCAACTCTCACAAGGTTAATGCTTGTAAAAGAGAAGCATCATTCTAGTTCAATTTTGTTACTGCTTTAAGACTGCGGACCGCACAGCAATTTGATATCAATTATTTGGCATTGATTAAACAGGCATTATCATCTTTTTATAATTTACACAGACTTTCATTTTGGTACACTGTTTTCAAATCAGTCTTGTAGAGGAACTTTAAAAAAGGTCACTTGGGAACATGCTGGCTAGGGTTATTAATATGTGCATATTTCCTGAAAAGTGCTGTACAAAGATTTAATTTCTATATTGTCCAAAACATTTCCAGGATAGCTCCAAGGAAACTTAGTTCTCTTTTCTCGCTGGATAAAAAGTCCCACTGTATGTGTGTGTGTAATACTCACTTGTGGCTACTTGCAAGTGTGGACTGCGTTGGAGAGTGCTGAGAGGGAAGGATGTCATACTCATCGCTGACTTGCACGCCATTAGAGAAGGGCTGCACACACACACACACACAAGAGAATGGGAGGCGGGGTTACAAAAACCACAAAGGAACAACTGAAGAGGTCATTATCCTCTGGATTTGAAGACTTGAAGTAAACCTAAATACAGTATATTATGCATGAGATCCCCCCTGTTTCTGGTGTAGGAGGAAGGTAGTGTAGTCCTCATCACTTCTCATTCACAGCCAGGACACCATACTGAAGGTAGATGCAGGGACTCTACAGCAAATGGTAATATTTTACTCACTGACAGTAGCTTTACAGCAACTCACTAAAGTAAGTACAGGTTTAAGGAAGTATTGTATGTAAGTATTTATGCGCTTTGTCAAACCTGATTTAATCACCAGCCTATAGTGTTCTAAGCAGGATGAATCACTTTCAGAAAAAAACTGTATACTGCGTCACGTAAAAGCAGTGCTGCTGAGAAGGAATGCAAAGCAGCACTGCATGACACACATCTTCTGTGTCTAAGATTAGCATTAATCCCCTGCCAAAAATAATCTGCATTCACAGGAAAGGTACAACCTCTGAATCTTCTGCCTGATTAGCCAGCATGCAACAAACACTGGTGAGGTTAAAGGTCACCTCTCGTTGTGGAAGACTAAGGCTGCGGTCTGCGAAAAGTCTTTTTTGCTGAGGAAGGTTCTAACTGAGTGAAGTGAACCAGAAGTATTTCAGCAGCAGCCATGATAAGAGCTGTTCTCTAAAAGCTAAGGAAAGGTGCCTCAATGCTTCCTTTCATATCTCCTTTAGCATAGGGTACACTTGACCATCCTTTCAAAAGGAAAGGAGAGAATGCCATCCCACAATTCCTTGTGGCAGCAATATTTAAAGTGGCACACGTTCTCAAACTCAAACGATAAAATCCATCAACCACATTTAGCAAAATCCCTGCAATACAGACGCACATTATGATACTTTAATAAGAATCACAATTACCTTCTTTCTTTTGGTTTGTTTTCTTTTGGCTTTTTTGTAATCTAATACTGTTTCAACACCATTTTATGTTTCGGGTTGTTGAAATAAGCCATAAAGTGTTTTCTACAATAAAAAAAATAAATCACCAACCATGACGGATAAAGGAGGTCGATCACCATGTAAATTACCATTGGCTATTAAGCCTTTTCTCTCTTATGCCATGATTTGCTAATATGCATATATCTTAAACTGTCAACAATAACTCATAAACTGTTACTAGTCTTGTAACGTGATCGAAGTGAGGATAAAGTTGCAGCGTGTAGCCTCACGTTATGTACTGCAGCCTTCAGCAAATTCATTTTACTTCAGTCACAGATGCTGACACCCTCACCTTAATAAAGGCAAAGATCAAGCTGGATGACCTCTACAGTAGGCTACAGTCTACAGTCTGATAACAGACTTTAGTGGTTTCTTTCTTTGATTTTACCTAAGGAAGACATCGGTGTCTTTTAAAAAATAACACATGCATAGGGCACAGCCTACTGTGCTGAGCAAGTCACTTGTTGCTAACAAAAAAGACTAAAACAAAAACAAATCTGAACACTGTATGCAGATCAAGAGTATGATTTTGTTCTGTTTTTACGTTGTGTGTATGTTGGAAGAGGTGAGCTGCAGTGGATATCTTCTGAAGATCCCCACCCTGGATTGTGCAGCAATTTCTGCCAATGTGCGGGAGGACAGTGATAACGAAGAACAAAATAATAAACATGTTATACTCTCTCCAAGACTTGTTTTTATTTATATATTCTATATTGTTTCCACTCTTAATAGGGAAATCACTGCAAAACACATGCACATGTAAAGCAGATAGACCTTAATTATGGAAGTGTTGAAGTGGCATAAGTGGGCTGCTTTGACTCAGGGTAGAACGGTCGTCCCCTTAAAGGATGGTTGGGAACCTGAAATTGCTCCTTGTGACTGTGTCATCAGTGTGTGAATGGGTTCATTTCTGTTTCTGATGAGCAGTTGGGTCTCTGCTCATAGGTGGGTGAATGTGATGTAGTGTAAAGCACTCGAAAAGACTAGCCCATTTACCATATGTGACAGTTCATTCGGAATTGGGGGCAAATGTTCAGACTGTAGATCACTGAGCCCGGTCGAAAGCTCTGAGAGCCTAAATGTGAACGTCTGCACTGCGCTCCAACAAATAGAAGCGACAGCTGCAGAAGAAGCTCTTGTTAAGTGACCTCTCTTGAAGTGTCCTTCTTTAATATACCAGAAAATAACTGGTAGGTGGTGCAAAAAATGAGAATAATTAAGATTAACATGATACACAGATGTGGTGGTGCAGTGGTTAGCACTGTCACCTCACAGCAAGAGGTTCAGTGGATCAAGGCCCAGGCCTTTCTGTGTGAAGTTTGCATGTTCTCCCCGTGTCTGTGTGGGTTCTCTTCATGTTCTCCTGCTTCCTCCCACTGTCCAAAGACATGCATAGGTTAATTGGTGACTCTTTGCCCTTAGGTGTGAACGTGTGTATGACTTGTTTGTCTCTATGAGTTAGCCCTGTGATGAACGGGCAACCTATCCAGGGTTCATTGGCTCCAGCCACTTCGTGACCCTGCACAGAGTTAACTATACTACTGACTAAGGCTGCAATAGTGCTAACCCAAAAATATTATTCTGATTATATAGTGTTTAAACCAAATAATAACACAAATCAGAATATGAAAAAGAACAGTTAAATTATGTAAAAAAATATAACAATACTTACTCAAGGATTCATTTACTTTGGTAGAGAAATTTTGAATTAAATAACATTTTGTCGCAATGAAAGTAAATATAAAAACATTGAGCCCACTGAGCTACCAGTAAATATTAATATATCTGAATGAAACTTCTCACAGTTACTATGCATCATAAAAGGAACAGAATGAGGGGGTGGGACCTGGAAAATGTTGAAAACATTTTTTAAAAAAATAATTACATTAACATGAAAGTCTGCATTTATCTTATTGACAGATATTTTATTTTATGTATTTAAGTATTTCATACATTTGCATGATTGCTGTAACGAGGACTTGTGATGGTCCATGACCTGGATGACTGAGAGCATCTGTCCTTACACGCCTCCTTACGCCACTTAGTTATTGAGGCATTTTTGCTCCTCATAGCAGGTTGACCACATTCATCTCCAAGTTCTTGTCAAATGCTCTTGCATGAGTAATTATTCACAATTAAACAGGAAACTGTTTTTTGAGAACTATACCCTAAACCCAACTGGAAGTCAGCAACTTTGAATTGAATAAGTAACTGACGTCAACCACAAAACATTTCACACTTCACCTGTGTAATATGTGCAGTGTTCAGAGCCGTATCAGCAGCCCTGCCGTTTAGGGCCACCTCCACCTGGGGTGCGCTGCTTAATGTTTCCATGTGCTCAGTAAAGTCACAGCAAATATCATGAGGCATTTAAGCAGCAAAACTAAAAAACTGTAGTTATAAATGTGACTTGACAGGACAGAGAAAACTCTCCAGAGGAAACAGAATTCAGCTTTAGCTTCTGAAATAATTTAGACTCTCTGATGGGGTGGTGATGGCGCAGACACATGCCTTTGGTGTGAGAAACCTGGTTTCAAATCCCCAGTGACACATCCACCAATGTGTCCCTGAGCAAGACACTTAACCCCTCGTTGCTCCAGAGCCGTGCGACCTCTGACATATATAGTAATGTAAGTCGCTTTGGAAAAAAATGTCAGCTAAATGAATAAATGTAATGTAATGATGGAATTCAGGATTGATCAGGAGGATGGCACGGTGAGAACAGTGAAATGTTGCGCAGATCTGTTCATTTTTGGTCAATGGTGCAATCTCTTTGTGCTGCCTCAAGATAGCAATGCACCAACAATTTACCTGAACACACCTCATTTTAGGACCTACACTCCCATGGGCACACAGATGGGCACAAGCACATTTGCTATTCAAACAAATTTCAGTCTGATTGTGTTGGAGTATTTAAGTGGTTTGCTCCCCTCACTCTGTGCTGGTTCATTGTTTGTTTCATTCATGTCTCTTGGGTTGTCACAATTGATGGCTGCTGTTTTGTCTCTATATTCCCGTGTTTCCTTTCGGATGTGTCAATTTATTCTTACGTTTTTTGACTCATGGACTTCTCACTAATTTCATCATTTGGATCTCTGTGCTTTACTTTGTACTGCCTAGCCATCTCACTTGGAAGTTTTACCCAGTTTGTTAAATAAAATCTCACTCAACTATACCTCCGTCTAGTGTAGTTTCTACAGTTGGGCCTAAACTCTCGTCTCTAGTGTTTGCTCTACAGCTGACAAAAAAATATGCCACATCAACTTCCTGAATATTACCACCAGTGTCAATGCTCTCTACATGCAACTCTCGGAGGCAGTGTCTGATCAAAGAGTTTCTCTGGAGGGAGAGCGAGTGATTGGCTATGTGTGCGCACTGCACGCTAGGCTTTTAAATAATAGCTTTTAAGTTATTGTGCAGATGCTCAGCACAATTCTGGTTTCCACATCAGTAAATGTTGAGACAGACTCTGGAGGATTTGCCTGGTTTAATTAGAATGGTCAGGTTTTTCAGCTGAATTAGGGATTTCATTATTAAGCATAGTTTATCATATTTATATTCTGTCCAACACTCTTCAAGTATGTATTCATTAGAAGAATGTCAGAGCAGCTTATTAGTCTTGCGTCTGCTGCATGCCTTATCTACAAAGTGACTGCTAAAAAAGGCATTTGTTCTCACTTTTTTATCTCTTTGAAATCAGAGAGGTAGACCACATGTATGAGAATTAAATCAAGCTTAACTCGGAATAAAACCTCCCTAAAGCAATGCACATAATCCCCATATAAACAACATGCCCAACATGTTGTATCAAAAACTTAAACAAATGCCCACCAGATTGGTGGGTATGCATAGTGCTTGTTAATAGGCAGGCAGACAGTGAATATCTAAATTAAACTTTCTTTGACTGTCTGCCTGCCTATTAACAAGCACTATGCATACGTTTGCATCACGTTGGTGATCAAACGTTGATGAAAAATGTTTCCCAGATGTCAAGTTTTTTTTATGTTAAGATGCCGACCATATTATTAACCCTGTTTTATTACTGCTGTTTACATTCACCCAGATGCAGATTTCAAAATGCCCAATTACTTTCTGGGTGTGTAGGTGTATAGCCTACTATAGGCAGGTTATTGGTATGTAAATAACGCGTATAATGTTTTATTTAGGCTTTTGTATTTGTATTTCATTCTCAATGTAAATATTTGTAAATACAGTCCATTCGAGCATGAAGTGGCTACAACTTCATTGTGTCATTCCTTGACATTACAGGACACACACCAGAGTTGCTCTGAAAGGCTGTAATGCTCATTGTTAAGAATTAAACAGAAAAACGAAAACACTCGACAAATAGATATGTTTAAGTAGTGGTGGAGCTACATGAAAAGCTAGATGAAAAGCCAGAAGATCACCGGAATTCTCCAAGACCATCAATGTCTTCACCAAATTGCATGGTAACTTGTGTTTACCAAATTCACCATCTTAGTTTAGCATGTTAGTAGATACTGATGGGGATGTCATTTGTTTAGCAGGTATTCAGACATGAACAGAAGTAATGCTGTTGATCTGATGAAAAGTCACCAAAGTAATTACTATTCATCCTGAGCGGAACATGAATGCCTATACCAAATTTCATGATCCATCCGACTTCTTGGAGACATGTCATTTCAGTCACCAAAGTCATTAGGATTCATTCTCTCAGAACCATGAACGTTTGTGCAGCATTTCATGGAAATCTAATATCTAATCTAAATAGGATTTTCCATATTTTCCCCAAATTACAACATAAAATTTTCCAGTTGACATCTATGGCCTACCTTGGAGGTCTCTGAGTTTCCTGCCCCCTCTATTCTGTGATGTAACCTCCCAAATTCCCCGGATGGACAACTGAGTGGTCTTCCATTCAGATGAGAGGGGCCAGAGGGTCCCAGCGGGAGTGGGTGTTCGGATCCAGTCCTGTGGGCATCTGCAAAGTGGCTGTCTTTGGGACACCATGTCTCCGGGGGTATCTGGGAGTCTGACAGCGCGCCGGTAGAAGATGAGATGGCAGAGAACAAGGAAGTGGAACTGGGGAGCCAAGAGTGTCGTGACTCTGGGGGGATGGGAGGAGGACGCACAGGGGGTGGCGGTGGAGGTGGGTCCCTCTGAGGCGGAGGTGGTGCTGGGAGAGGCTTGTCTTGCTTCCTAGACATACCTGGTGAAGACTAGAGAGGTGGAGAGATATGGTGTACACAGTGAAATAAAAAAGACCACAGCATATTTTAACCCAGTGTGAAAAGATTTCGCCCCAACCATTTCCATCTCTACAAGGCAACTCAAGAGATAAACATAACATGATTTATGGATACTAAAATCCTACAGAAACTCAAAAATTAATGAATTTTTATGTTTGTTTTATCAGCGTTCAAACCACGAAACAGTAGAACCCTTCTGTGTTTGTCTGTTTTAGTTATTAGGGCCCGAGCACGAACGGACGAAAGCGCAAGGAACCTATTGTTTTTGCTCAGATATTTTATTAGGGCCCGAGCATGAAAATTGCAAGGTCCCTATGAAACTAAAGGAATTATTTTAAGGACCCCAGCACAAAGTGCAAGGAACCTATTGTATTTGCTGGGAATTTTTTATTTTTTTTTCTCCGCGGAGAACTCATTTTTGAAGGCCTTAGAATACTCGATTCATCACGAAAATTTGCACACACCTCAGGTCTGGTGGGCAACGCTCTATAGTGCCCCCTAAAACCATTTTAGCTGTCACATGGCCAGGGATAGTCAAACCCTCCCGAGACTTTGCACGCTTTTTAAAACGGTTGTTTTGTATTGGCTGATATAGTTTGGGGTGTGGTTGTGGAAAACTGGCTCAATAGCACCCCCTACAAAATTTCAAAAAAGCAGCCCCTGTCGTACATTGTACTTAGATGTACGAAACTTGGGTAACCGATGTATCTTGTCCAGACTTAAAAATAATCCTCTCGGAGCCATACCCTAAACCCAACAGGAAGTCGGCCATTTTGAATTATTTACAAGCGTTTTCCCTTTTTACAGGCTCCGTACTTTAACAAACTCCTTCTAGAGCTTTAACCCGATCGACTTCAAATGGGGTAGCGGCGTCTTAAGAACCTTTTTTGATCAATGGCTCAAATGGAATGGCCATGGCATGGCGTTGAATTTAGATTTTTCGCTATGAAAAAGGAAGTAGCATGTATATGTGCCAGACATGGTCAGATCTGTTCCAAATTTCACATGTCAACCCCTTAGAGTCTTACATGTCAAGACTAGACTTAAAATACCCTGAACCCAACAGGAAGTCGGCAATTTTCTAGTCATAGTGATAGCGCTACTTACTGGAATCTGGAAAGGACACGTTTTAAAATTTATTTCTACTTTTTAGCACCTTAGCGGACAAAAATGTCCATAGTGAGGCATGTACGCTCCTCCATAGCAGGTTGACCATATCCATCTCACTATTCTTGTCAAATGATCTTGCCATGGTGAGTAAATATTCGCAATTAAACAGGAAGCTGTTTTTTACAGTTATAACCTAAACCCAACCGGAAATCAGCCACTTTGAATTGAATAATTAATTCAACACCTCAACCACACTTTGTGAGATATTTTCGACACGTCATCTGTGTGATTTTTGCAGTGATAACTACAAAGCTGTGTCAGCTGGATTGCGATCAAAGAGTCACAGCTGTCGCTGCACCTGAGGCACACATGGGGGTGAGGGCCTGCTCAACGCTGCTTGCAGCTTTAATTTTTATTTGTTGTCTGCCACGCCAGCTCAAATTCCCGTGAGCTGGAATGAGCTAGAAACATGTAACTTGGGGAAATAAGTGGAAATGATTGGCTTGAAATTTCGCACACAGGTGCAGCTCAATATGCAATAAAACACATTTTTGACATCTCCTCCTAGACCTCATCATTGGATCAAGCCTATTAAAAGTTGTATAAAGCATGTCGATATCTGAATTACTTTTATGGACCAATCAACTTCAAAGGGGGCAGGGCTCTGGACATAAATGAATAAAAATCAGCGACCATAGGGGCTAATCATCACAAAACTCAAAAGATATGCTAAGGTAAGTGCCCCAGATATATCCAGACAGTTTCATATACATAGGCCACTAGGGGGCGCTACAAGCGCAAGAAAGGTGCTTAGCATTACACAAATTATACTATATTATCACATATTCATTCTCCAATCATCACAAATCTCTCAGGATATGTAACTCAATGTTTCATTCAAATTGAACACCAGGGGGTGCTATAAACAGAACAAAACTGTGTCACATTACGCAAATCAGGCTACAAATCAGAAAATGTTGCTCCAGTCAACATAGAAGTTCCAGAATATGTCTACATAAGGACCCCACATGTGTATCCTCTGTTTCCGTCCTTCATATCAAACTTATTAGTTATCCAAGCCTGTGACCTTGCATGTGTGGATCCCAGTACCAGCGGTATTGAAATTGCTCAGTTTTTTAACAAAATTTTGCATTTTTCACAACCTGCCTGGACCCCAATCATTGTTGTTGCAACTATACATATTCTTATTTTGGTTTTTAAGCCCTCCTTGCTTCACTTTAACAATATTTTGAGAGGTGAACCAGTTTTCTTCCCATCTGGGGAATACTGTCACTGACCTTCGGGGAGCCGGTGGGACTGGCAGATGGGGAGCGGATGGCGCCCTTCTGGATGAGGTCGAGTCGTGGCGGTACGGGGGGAAGGCTGAGGTGCTGGAGGCAGTGGCTGGGGTCTCCTCCGTAGGCTTTTCTGTGTTGGCTGACAGGTGAAGAGCTGGGAGACACCATGGGTGAGTTCTGGCGCTCGGCACAGTGCTTAAAGAAAAGTAAATAATCTCTTAAAGCAGTGTTTAATCATTTATGACCTGCTGTTCTGTTGTTTAAGCACCGTAAAGAGTTAGTAATCTGGTTTATTGATCTATCTGCTAAAAGTAAAATCCTTCACTTTTGCTCCTAAAACTTAAGAATTAAAGTTATTGATCAAATTTCTTACTATTAATAATGTTTATAAAATGTTTAATTTAAAAGATGTCCAGAGTTGTCTTAAGTTGGTTAAAGGCTCATGCAGACTACTCGACATTCAGCGTGGGCTGATCGCCATGTTGTTCAGACTACCCAACTTGCCATCGTGTGACGGGAGTTTTAAAGTCTTTGTGGAGTTCACACTACGTGACTGATCGGTGACGGGGGTCACACACTTCACGAGCTGACAATGGCTGTGTCACCTGAGGGCTGGTCTCCAAACCATGTTTTGTTAAGAAAACACATGTGAAATGTGAAACGGGAAATGAGCGAACCTACACACAAAACAGCTGTTGTTTATTACAGATAGCAATTATGAAGACAGAGTATGGGTGAAAGAATGGATTAGCACACGCATGTAGCAAGGATTGTCTGAGCTACAGAGAGGGCTGGAGGGGAGTAAAAAGTGTTTTGCAGTGAAACAGTAGCTGCCTGCTCTCATTGGCTGGATGTGGATGTCGAGTCGGCCGAGTCCTCCAGATATTTGGCATGCTAGATATCTGGCTGCCGTCTGCAATGTGTCAGGGATGAGTCAGGGAGCCGTTTTGATGTGTCGTTGAGTAGTTCACAAATAACAACTTGCAACCACTGACCGATCTGTGATTTACCCCTGATCACAGCCTGACGGTAGCTGAGCTCGCAGACCGGCAAATCGGGGTTAAAATCGTGTAGTGTGAACAAGGCTTAAGAGCAGATGCTAGATGGCTTCATTGCAGAAACAGAGATGAAAGAACACCATTTATAAATAGTTCACTGAGTAAAATAATAATAATAGTATAGTAATAGTAAGAATATAAAAAAGGATGAACAATGGAGCAGAGTAAATCCTTGGCCTGACTGGCCTGAGCATATGTTGACTGTGTACCTCCCAAGTGATGTGATGTGATGTGATGACTTGGGAGTTACTCTTTAAGGTTCATCCTACACTTACTGTATGTTTGATAAATAGAGCCCTGGACCTTTTCCTGTATTAAAAACAACTAAAATAAAAGCTAATCAGATTTATTTAAGCCCTTTCATCTATACTACCAGCTAGTATTACTACCTTCCTGATGTTGGCCAGTCCATTCATGATCAGGCAGTCCTCTCGGTCCTCCTCATCATCCAGCTCCAGCATGGGGCAGCTATGATGGTCCAGGAAGAAGCATTTGGTGCCCTCATGTCGTGGGTCAAAGGGATCCACAATTATAGGCTCTGTGCCTTTGATCTCACAGCGACAGAATGGACAACCCTGACCATCCGATTCCTGGAACAGACAAGGGAACGAATTTACATGAAACAGGATATTTCATGCTTTGAACTATTTATTGTAGTTATACAAATTTAATTTCAACACACAAACACACACAGATACAGAGGTGCGGCTGTGATATTTGAGACCCACAGACATGTCAAAATCTAATCGGATGAGCATGGTTTTGTTGCTGCAGTGTTTTGGGAACATGAGGAATCACTTGGCGTGTCAAGCAGCAAGGCTGTTGCTGCACACAGCTGAGACACACATGCTTGTGGTTTTGTTCTTCACTACTACAGTATCTTACTCTCTCTTCCTCCCATTCATAAAATGACTCTGGCAAAGACAACTGAACACATGCTTGTGTAGATCCTCTCCTGGGAAAAGTTTTGCAACTTCACAACATTCATTGGCTCATGTACATATTCCACATGGCAGCTCCTGTTAAGGGGTCATAAATAAGAGAATAAAAGAGGTTTTGGTTTTCAGTGCATGTCTACACTGACTCAGTGGCTATAATCAATGGCAGACAATATTTACAGAGAACAAAGCTGCATGTGTTAACTTAATGTTAACTAGATTAAGGTATTAACGAGGTTTATTGTATGTCCAGCGCTTGAAGTGGAAAAAAATAGGTGGCCTATATCACAAGATGCAGCTTAAATCAGGGAACACATGGATATATAAGGTTTTTGAATGTGCAACATGCTTTGTTATTATAGCGCCAACTGTTGGTTGACATGTCATTTTTTGCATCTGAGATGTTTGCAACAGTCTAGACCAGCCCTGTGAATTTCACTAACATAACGTTTATGGTTTAGGCTACAGTGTGATAAGAATAAAAAGGGAAAATTTCAATAGGCTTCCCTGCACAGCTGCCTTACACATGTGGTCACATCCCTCTGGCTTGGGCATCTAATAAAAAACGCTGGTAGTTCTAGTAAAACTTCAGATCATTACAATCAGCTGCAGCGTCTAATTAAAAAAAAACTGATATCCAATAAGGGGGCGTGTCAGCCCCCCCACAAGAGGCTCGTCCAGGACCATTTTGGTAAGATAACATCTACTTTTTATGGTCATTTGGCCCAGTTTGGTTTGTGACATCGCTACCTCCTGTGACAATAGGGGTTTGGCTAGTAGGGAGGCATTTGGCGCTTTGGTATGTTTTCAAATTGCAGACTCTGTCTACTTGTTTAAATCCAAATTTGGGGAGTATCGTACACAAGTATTTGTTTTTCATATGGGGAAAGAGTATATACGAGTCTTACGATACAGCAACATGGCAGGACAAACTGACACAATGAAGGAAATCATTTTACAAGAAGGCATGAATAATTAAGAATTTGTCTTAGACAGTGTTTCACAAAGTTTATTACGTTTCCCCTTACTCATCAAAATACTCAAAATACGTTTTGACTCATTAGGTAATTTTGAGTTTAAGGCAGTCTGGGGACTTTCTCGCTGGGCAACAAAAGGAGTATATTGCTGTTACTGTTTACAGTATTTGTAAAATTTGACTTGTTCACTGTCAATTCAATTTTATCTTCTTTCATAAGTTTAATGTAAACGTCTTGGCAGGTAAGACACACTTCAAAGCAAACCATGCCATCTCTGAAAAGAGTTTGCATCACTCTGAGTCAGCGCTTGACATTAACTTTTTTGCTCACTAGCCAATGTGGCTAGTGGTTTTCCAAAGTTACTAGCCACACAGCATTTTCACAAGCCACATTTTTGTTGTGGGAAAATTACGTTTTATATGATTAAAGTTGACTATGGTGTCCTAAAATTGGTGTGCTAAAATGTACTAATATTATCATTAGCTCTGATAAGGTTATGTGTAAGGCTCCTTTTTTTGAAAACATGCAGTCTATAAAGATAGACACATAAAAGAGGAGCTTCTTATAAATATATATATGTAATGAAAGTGCTGCATGGGTGTAAAAGATGAAATGAAAAACTAAACTGAAATTTTTTCAGAAACACTGTTTATTTATAACAGTGCCTTTTCTCTTTGTCTTTTTCTCCTGTGCATTTTTTCTATGCACACTCAGTGATCGCTGTGTTGATGCGTGCGTGCATGCAACCAGTTGTGTGTGATGACAGAGATCATACCATCAGGTTAAAACAAGAAGGGAGGCTGATGGTCTACAGGTCTGAGGGACTGTGGCTGCCCACAACTTTTATAGGCCTATTCTCGTTTGACAAAAGTTTGGATGTCATATTTGGCGCACCTTGAGCGGCGGCACTGCAGGATAGAGTGAGACGCGCCTGTTGTGTGGCGGTGTGGATTATCCTGCTATTAAAAGAGCTTGCTCTTGCCGCCGCTGGTCAAGTTGATAATTAACAGCAGGCTAAAACAGATCTCAGTTCGACGGCCAGTCCGCTTGTTTAAAGGTTCAGTGTGTAAGATTTAGTGGCATCTAGTGGTGAAGGTTGTCAATTGCAACCATCTGTCAAGTCTACCACTGCCCCCTAACCTTTCAAAGAGCACAGGACAGCTACGGTGGCTGACACAGCACAAAAGTTGTCTCTTCTGAGACAGCAGAGAGTAGCAAGTCAAGAGATGAGGTTTCTTTAGGTATATATTCAGAAATTATATTTACTTAAAAGGGCATCATGGAGTTTCCACTAGCGGTGCGGTTCTAAGATTGCAACCAGGTGTGTGCTCGTACGCGTGTTCGCTTGAAGTCATGAGCGAGCATAATCCGAAACACTACCACTTTCATACAGAAATAAGCGATATAACTTTGCAACATTTGCCATTAGCCGGCGAGCTAACGTGACTTTCTCTGTGTTTCTCCAGCTTTACTAATGCTCAGTTTGTTCTTACTCGACATCATCTGAACCTGTTTGGTCTGATGGGCTTAAGCACATAAACCTTTATTGTTGTTTTGGATCCTTACGTGGAGCCCGTGTTTTGCTGTGAGCCGGTTGTTTTATGGTGTTAGTGGACTGCATGTCGTTAGCTGCCGTGTTGTCGCTGTAGTCTGAGAGAGGCTCGGGAGCGCGCACAGAGCTGAATCCGACCCGGAGACCTCACATTAAAAGCAGAATAGTGGCTGCTGCAAGCAACAGAGAAAACAGCCGTGTGCTTCATTTCTAAGTGACTTTTGAGCCCATTGACAATAAGGCAATGAAAATTTGATTTATTAAAATCAAAAACTTACATATAGTCCCTTTAATTATTCAGTAAAACCATATGTTATTGTGACTTGGCCACTGACAGATAACATGGAAAATGTAAGCCAAGAGTGTGCAACACTGTCACTGTTTCTGCACCACAGTCCATTATAAACCACGCATTAGATAAAGTTTGTACAAACATAGAAAAGGGAATTAATTCTCTCTGTCATTATGGACCCTCGCCAAAACTGCCTGCCAGCAATAATATCTGGCCTGCGGTAAGATTATGGTGCGTTGATAGTGGCAAAGAATATAAATAAAGAAATACTTTGATAGCGATGCTGAAATAGATCTCAGTCATGGTTACAACAGTTACTCACATAATCACTCCTCTTTATCCTCTTTAGTGGTTTTGTCTACAAAATAAAAGTGAGAGAAGCTTGTTTACTGCAATTCTGTATTTGAAGTTGAATTGAGCTTTTATTTTGAAAAATTCTGAATGACATTAAAAGAGTCTGTAGCATGCTTGACACACCTCTGAAAGAGGTTGATGGATGTGGAACAGTGCAGCACATGCCGTGTTCTGAGGAACAGTCGCTGCAGAATCCATTTGTTGAAGAGAGAAACAAAAAAACTTGTCTCAAGGTGGGATCGAACACTGAACCCTTGGGTTATAAGTCCCACATCTGACGAACTGAGCTAACCAAACGATACATTAATGCAAGTGAGTATTATGGTTTATAATCTCACCCACCATCTAATGGTTGAAACTATTGCACTGATGCAAAACTTACTTGCCGACCCTTGCAGTATATTATTACTACTACTTCTAATGTCCGTATACACTGCCTGAATTCTACCAGAAGTAGAACAAGAAGAACGTAGTGACGAAACATGCTCCGTAGCGCTGCTTGTCCGTTTTCAGCTACTGTAGAATGTTATGTTAATGTCAAGCCCTGCTCTGAGCAATGATGACTTTATACTTTGTGGAAACAACTAGTAACTAGTTGCTAATTCAATACGCGAACCTTATCATCTAATGAAACCTAGTCTGGTAAAAACAAACCGAAAAGCTTCTATGAATCCTGTGAGTCCTCACTGCACTGATTCAGGATAAAACTAATAGCTACAAAAAGGGAACCCTCTCATGGGCCCCATACCTTTACTGGGGAAGACCTGGTCTGATTTGGAGAGACGGCATCCATCCCACTTGGGAAGGAGCAGCTCTCATTTCTAGAAATCAAGTTTATTAGTGGACCAAATCCACGACAACCCAGAGTTGAGACCAGGAAGCAGAGTCGCAGTTTAACACACTTCTCTGCTCCTCCATTTCAGGAGTTACCTAGTGAAAGCCCCATAGTGACGGTGTCTGCCCCCCGACAACTGAAATTATTTAAATCAAAGGTAAACAGAAGAGGAGCTGTGCATAAAAACCTCATAAAAATTAAAACCACAAGAGCAATAGTGCAAACTAATAGGAAAATTAAATGTGGACTCTTAAACATCAGATCTCTCTCTTCTAAAGGTGTACTAGAAAATGAACTAATATCAGATTATGATATTGATTTATTTTGTCTTACTGAAACCTGGCTGGGTGATGGAGAATATGTTAGCCTAAATGAATCCACCCCTCCCAGTCATATTAATACTCACATTCCTCGAGACACAGGCCGAGGAGGTGGAGTTGCAGCTATCTTTGACTCTAGCCTACTAATCAGCTCTAAACCTAAACTAAATTATAAATCATTTGAAAGCCTTGCTCTTGGTCTTTCACACCCAAGTTGGAAATCACTGCAACCAATCCTATTTGTTATAGTGTACTGAGCACCTGGTCCGTACTCTGAATTCTTATCTGAATTTGCAGAGTTTTTGTCAACTTTAGTCCTTAA